AAAGATCCCAAATTTATTTTAGATATGTGATACCTAAGCATTTTCTTTAATCCACTTCATTTCAAATTTAAAGAATGTAACTACTCAACAGATATAATTTAGATATTATGATAGCTAGTTATTTTTAAATCGAGTGCATATTTGGCACAGACTGCTCAGAACGTGGACGTACTGCAAAAGTTTCCTTTATATTTCGCAATTGTGAATTGCTGTATGTGGTCCTATAATGCGTACACGCGATAACTCTTTTATACAAGCAATAAGTCCCCGCCGGTTTTCTCATGATGTGATACAAACGTCTTCGCTTGAAAAGCAATTAACTGATTGTCGTCATTTTCATGTGCAACAGTGCGTGCAAAACGTCACAAATAACTAGACAAACAGTTCAAAAGTTTATCACGCTCCAGGCATTGATGCGTGTGGTATGACTTATTCGGGCTAAACTAAGTTGGACGATGGTGAGGGCTAAGTTATGTTTGCGTGCGATAGAATGCCGGTACAGATTTTACATAGTTGTAGAATGTTTGTTTAAGCTGCTAGACTTGCTAGTTTAGGTTTAGGGTATATCGTACCAATAGTATATGCAGTGATGGACTGTAAAGCAATAAACCCTAAACTCTAATATATATATATATATATATATATATATATATATATGCATGGGAAATAAAATGAAAGTTATTTGGCGGCAATAAATTAGGTAGGCGATAAAAACACAATACCATGTATCTGTTGCGAAATTTTTGATGCGAGTCTTTTTTTGCGGCTTCAAAGGGAAAATTCTTGGCAATAAATATGCTTTTCGTGCTCAAATGGAAATATAACATTTAAGAGGTTAGCAACCCATCGTTCGTTGCTTTAGATAGTACAATTTTGGCAAAAAAGTTTCTCGTATTGCTGACAAGTTTACTGTATCGATCCGGAAATCAAGCATTCGTGATAGATGATTAATTGGCAGCAACTTCATGTTCAGGTCTATACCCTATGCCTTGTTCGCTGTATTACAATCCATACATAAATATTCTTTTCCATTCCAACATATACAGAAATATAACAATATGGAGGTAACTAATTAGCATTTTACATGAAGTTGTGTAAAGAGGTGATTAATTGCCAACAACTTCATGTCCAGGTCTATATTCTACGCCTGACATGAGCAAACTACGGCTCGCGGGCCAAATCCGTCCCGTTGGGTAATTCAGTCTTATTGAAGAGGCTTATTGTTTTCCACTTTTGTTTTGTGACACTGTAAATATTGTACATAAAATGTAACTCTTTACGTCACACTTCCATGGTCCGCCAGTCTAGGTGGGGAAAATGTTTGGCCCAGGATCTAAAAGCCTTGCCCACCCCTGCTGTACGCGTTGTTTGACGGTGAAATAATCCATACATAAATATTCTTTTTTATTAAAAATATATTCAAGCATAAGCCATCGATGCAATAATTGTAGTATCGACAGCGACAGGTCGCAATTTGGAAAACAAACAAAACGTAATCGGAACAAACATAAACTCATGTCGACCTGCAGAGGAAATACCACACCACCACAACTACACACACGACCGCAGACGGTGAAAATATCGAAAATTTGAAAGTACTTTGCTGGTTATTGCCCATAGATAGTTCTACAATCCAGGTTAGTTTATTTCAACCCTTTTTGTAGAGCGGAACCACAATAAACATTCTAGAGCAGGGATGGGCGAAATTTTTAGTCAATGAACCAAAAACTTTGCCCATCTAGACTGTCGGGTCATGTAAGTGTGACGTAGAAAGTTACATTTATGAACAATGTTCACAGTTTTACAAAAGCAAAAGTTGAAAACAATAAGCCTCGTGCCAAAACTAATCGCAATTTTAACAAATTCCTTGAGCTATTTTTTTTTGAGGTAAAGCATTATAATTTGGTTTTAGTTTGCTTTTGGCAGGCCCAGGAATTACCCAACGGGCCGGATTTGGCCCTTGAGCCGTAGTCTGCACATGTCAGTTTTAGAGGCTCCAGGAACCCCTATGGCATTGGTTATGTATAATTAATATGAAACGACAGTTTGACGTGGAACCATTGAAGGTCCTTCACAGAACAGCAGCGAAACACACTTATTATATGATTATATTAAACCAGTGTATTCGATTATATTTGAACAATATAATATAATAACATAGAATAGACTCTCAGATTTCAATGTAAACTTGCAAAACAAACCCCAGAACTGCATTAACGGAATGCTGCGTTAGAACAGACTGTCAATAGTGCCATGGAAACACCAATCTATTCTAGACAATGTTATTTGATTTTGCTATTACGTTTTATTTTGCGCTTTTTCTAACAGCATACAGGTCATGACCTGGACATGAACGTCGATCAAACATCATGAGCTAATGTTTGTGCACTGTTAAATATAGAAAATTGCCAAACAGATCTGCAAATATAGCCAGGAAGTTTCAGTAACAAAGTTTAAAATTTTCTAAATTCTACTGGCAATACTACATGAAATACTTGTTCCGTTTATTCTACGCTAGGAATGAATCGCGTAGATAGTAAGACTAAATGACACAAGTCTTCGCCGTGTCATGCTTACTTCATGTTAAGATTGAGCGAACGATCAGATTTACAGGCTTATTTAGGTAAATGTTATGATTAGATTTTAAAGTAACGTTGGTAGTGCATAGTTACGATGCCGTCGTGTAATTACGCGTCATTTAAAGTGCAGGACGTAGATATTTCGGCGCTCCAGAAGTGTAGGTGCCAATATGGAAGTAACTAATTTTTTTCGCCTACTTTACATCAAGTTGTATAAAGGGACTGAAGCCTATTGGCAAGGGGTGTATCCAATTGGTGAACACATACGGTCACTAGAACTCGTAAAAAAACTAAAATAAGAAAAATCGGAATGAAATTATGACTTGACCCTAACTTGGTACGTACACTACGGGAGTACCTATTTTTTAAAGTAACAATTTAAATGCAAAATATTAGGATTGTTAGTTACGTATCTCGTTGTTTACTTGGAATGTATGTTTATATTTATTATTTTTTTCTTGAAAATATTTTTTAATATAATCTTCCTATATTTATACGGGAGGCGTTGCAAAACTTGACGACTGATTAACCTTTTGTATGGGATCGGGATGGTAGAGTTAGTTAAGCCGGAGGTAGTTGTGAGAAATTGGTTTTTAAATCAGAACTAAAATAGTTTAACATAAATTTCGCACATAAGGTATGACTAAATATTTGACTTTAACTTGAGTGATACCATGTGAAGGTACAGTTGCACTGTTCGCACCCCTGAAGTATGCGTACCAAGATGGCGGGCACCGGAACGTAGTATATGTACCAGGTTAGGTTTAGGCCATAATTTTACTTCAACTTTTCTTATTTTAGTTCTATCACGAGTTCGGGGACTAGACAAGTGACTCCCGTAGTATTTGTACGTAGTAAAATTATGGCCTAACCCTATCCTGGTACACACTAGAGATGTACCGATGTATCGGTATCGGGTATCGGCAATATCGGCCATTTTTTCGGTATCGGCCATGTATCGGTATCGGTTAGATTAAGGCCGATATTACCGATATATTTACCTTTTTGATATGGTCCAGAATGTTTTAAAAGATAAGTTGGAATACTACTTTTTAATTTATTTTTGTCTGGAGAGATCGTGAGCTATGAGCCATACATGTCCCCACCCCTGCGAGATAATAGGATTCACGTGTTTTTAGCTATTTATCAGCTAAACTAGCTCAACTAATTCGGCTATTTTCGCTGTCAAATTTTTATATTGACATTTTTAATATCACATAGTTTTTATGAAGAAATATATCAACACGGCACATAACAAAAAGCAACTAGGTGCCCAGTTTTAAATCATACAGTGGAATTGGGGTCCTTCCTTATTAACGGCACATGGACTTTTGGCACGGGTATAAATTCTGACTGTTTGTCGTCAAGTACGAGTGTCATTTAGTCCGTCGACATCGATAAACTAAATTCCGACACAATTATCCCACTACACAGATATTAATTTGAATTCTGCTTAACTACACGATTTCTTTATAGATGTATTGACTTGACCGCCTAGCCCTAGACTGTCTCAAAATATAGGATAGCAATTGTAAAATATTATAAAATAGTGAAGTAAAAAATCATCCTCAACGGTTATCGGTGTGCCTTCTTTTTGTCGTTGCTGATTGATATTCTTTCATGTTGGCTTTGACTTATTGCGTCGACGATTACGATTAGCCACTAAATTAAATATTTGTAAAATGCTTTTAATTTGAACGTATGACGGCGGCGCTAGAATGTGTGGGTGATATTCGATATTCTTTTAAACACGAATAACGATATTCGAAGCTCGCGATATTAACATTAAATTCAAATTGGACATCCCGGCTTATGAGTTTTCTAATTGAACACCGAGATTACTAGCGTTACTGTACAATGTATCTTAATCAGTTACAGCATATGGATACCAAACATTAATTTCATATTATGTGATATATATATATCTTTTTTTTCGATCTGAAATAATGTGTACTATGAACAACGTTGAAAGACCATTGTTTTAACCCGTCTGCCCTACACAGCATACCTAATTAAGTAATAATTACATAGTATCGGTATCGGAATATCGGTAATATCGGCCTTTTTGTAGTATCGGCGTATCGGTATCGGTATCGGCGTTTTTAGCTGGTATCGGATCGGTATCGGTATCGACGACAAAAGTGGTATCGGTACATCTCTAGTACACATACTATGTTCCAGTGTCCGCCATTTTGGTTCATATACTTCGGGAGTACCTTGACTTCATTTAACTCGAGTGATACGCTGTGGAGATAAAGTCGTACTGGTTGCACTTCAAAGTGGGTTTCGCTATCCTTGTTATTTAAGTGAGTTTTTTAATCTTGTTCATGGTGTCTATTGTTCATAGTTTAACCAGCAGAAGCTATTATGTTTTATTGAAATAGTATCAACAAAATTTAACCACGCTATATTTTGTTTTAGAAATTTATATTTAATTTGAATACATCGCAGTATATCCATAATGGTTTTACGTTCAGCCTATCCAGATGTCATCATTCCAAATTTATCGTTTTCTGACTACATGTTGAAAGCGATGAACGACAAAAGGGACAAGATTGCAATCGTAAGTGTAATATAGGCTTGGGTTTCAACTCGTTTAGAATATCGATCCGTACCTATAGTTCAAAATTTGATATTCCCTGATTTTACCATAAACCATAAATATATATCGCAATTAACATATTGGCCTTGCTCATTGTTTCCTCTCGCGGTATCTTTTGTTTTAAATTAGGTTTAACATAATATAGAATATTAAGCACAGACTCATGCGACGATTTTAGGCGTTCTCACATTGAAATCCTGCAGCAAACGTGACAATCAAGTATACCTGGCGTATAATCTAACGAAAAATTATTCGTATACTTACATTTTATTTCAAGTGCTCGATTGCGATCAAATTGGCATTCTAATTTTAATGCTGCTTCAGTCAGACCCGAATTCCAAATTGCAGTCTTAAAGAAAATTACAGTATTGCTATAGTCATGCATATGAAAGATCTTCACCGTGCGGTTGCCGGAGCATCAACCATAAAAGCATATGTCTGCCGTACGTTTTCGACGATTTAACAAAATAGTGAAACTCTTCTTTCTTCGTCTCAGGTAGATGCTCCTACTGGAAGAGAACTGACCTTCGGTGATGTGGTGGACGGAGTCATAAAATGTGCAAGCGCACTCAACAAACGAGGACTGAAAAAGGGTGACGTAATGGCCACGTGCGCGTCTAATAGTCCCGAATATCTTATTGCCATCATTGCTGCTGCTGCATGTGGAGCTGTCACCACAACATGTAATCCTAGATATACCGCAAGTATGTTCATTGTTATAAAATATTATATCACATCATGAGTTGAGCTGAGTGACAATTATTGCTATTTTATACGGCTTATTTTCGGGGATGGCTCTTATTTTCGTTTATCAAAAAAAAAAAATACAAAGTAGAGAATTACAAAATTTTCAGATATACAAAATATGAAAACCGATATTGCGAAAAATTGCGCTATCGACTTGGTCTTATTTTCTGGGAAACACGGAAGCTAGCTACATTGTTATAAGAAATGATGATTACCCAGATGTTCATATTTCATTTTTTCACGAAGAAAAAAGATTATATTGCAAAGTTGCGTCGTTCTGATAATGTTGAATCTTGTTTCGACAGGTGAAATTGAGCATCAGTTCAAGAACTCTGAACCTAAAATTGTTTTCACGATTCCCGATAACGTTGAAAAAATAAAAGAAGTCGCAAAATCTGTGAAAAGTATAAAGGTGAGACAAATTATATCTGATAGCCTTTGTTAATTTTGCAGCTCGTTTTGATTGTAATAACTAATATATTTCGTCAATTACAAACTTATGATAAATCTCAGTTTTTATGGAGGAATTTAAGTTTTCGAAATCATAATGTTTTGTTCCAGTTTTGTATTGACATTGAAGTTTGAAAACTTCAGAAACTTCGGATCGTAATTCAGTTTTAAATCGTCACCATCAGCCTTTAGTTCAGTTCATGCTTCTCAAACTTTTTAAGCCACGCCCTATTTTTAGAATTTGTCAAGTCTCGCGCCCCACATTGAAAATAACTAGCTAAGAATAAGCTAACAAGTAACAGATATTAAGGCGAAAGTATGTTTTATTCAAAAAAAAGTACATGTTAAAAATACGTGGATGGAACATAAATAATGAAATAAATGAAAAATTTTGAAATGTAAATCTACAAAATAAGGCGGGCTAGATCGAATCTAACAAACATTTTAATTTTATTTAGCTTCAAGCCCCCTCAAAAAATTGTCGCTGCTTTGGTCAGTACCTAATAATCGGTATTGGCAAATTGAATCGATTTATTTATTCATAACCTTAGAATCTCTGATTGTCTGCTTATTCGGGCACTGTTTGTGTTGGCCAAGTAAATATCCCCCTGCCAATAGGTTTCAGTCTCTTTACACAACTTGATGTAAAATAGGCGAAAAACTTAGTTACATAACTATTGGTACGCACACTTCTGGAGCGCCCTTCTTGCATTGTTTCTTTTTTGATATGTATAAGAATAACCTCACGACATCCTTCTATTTCTGTAGGAAATCTATTCGATTGGTGAGGCAGATAGTGTCGAAACCTATTCTTCAATGATGAAAGAAGAAAAAGGAGAAGGTGCGATTTAATTTACAACAGGGGTGTGCAACCTGCGGCCCATTAGACTTATGCGGCACACAAGAAAAAATTTTGTGGCCCGCTGTGTTCCAATTTTGAATGGTTTGCGACCGCGAAACGAATTTTTAATTTAGTTTAATCTGGTACGTGTGAGTAATTCCAATCCATCTGCGTTGAGAAGCATATACCGAGGCCCCATCCATTATCTATGCCTATGACGTTACAATGCCCTAAAAGCTAACTTGTGCGAAGCGACCAACGCATGTCATAAGATGAATAACCAAAATTATTTTTGTGTCTGCACTTACTAAAGAGTCTATATTATGTTAAATTTTGTAAAATATATATACCGTCAACTCAATATACGTATACAGAAGAATCAAGCATAACGACTCAATTCCAATAGAAGCTTGACTAGTTGCCACTTTCTTAGCTACAAGGCTGTCTATAGTTATAGTACACTTAAATTTTAGGTACTCCCGTAGTATGTGAACCAGGTTAGGGGGAGGACATAATTTTATTCCGATTTTCCATATTTTAGTTCTATTACGGGTTCGTGGACTGTATGTAACCGTCTGTAACCCCATGCCCATAGTAAACAGTCTCTTTAGACATATTGATGTAAAGTAGGCGAATAAAATTAGTTACCTCCATATTGGTACACGCACTTCTGAAGCCCTTAGATTTCCCCACACAGAAGTGCGCGCGAAACAAATAATCCAAACAGTATTTTACAGCCTTCCCCAGGCCAAAAATAGACCCCGAGGAAGATCTCGTCTTGCTGCCTTACTCAAGTGGAACAACGGGATTGCCAAAAGGTGTGATGATAACACATCGCAACATAGTTGCATGTTTGACGGTCGCTAGGTGAGATAAATTGCAAATTCAAAGAATTTACCATTTTAGAATACGACTTTTCAAATTGTATTAACTTTAGTATTATTTAGTTGAAATAGTTTTTATGACATTTGTTTTTGACATTTTAACTTTATTCCTGACATCCTGGACACATTATGCAATCAAACAAATCATATTTTCGACTTTTGTCTGGGAATTAATTAACCACTTGAACTTAACTTCGGTGTTCCAAAAAAAGTGAAGAATTAATGTACAGGGGGTTTCAATACAGTTTCAATTTTGTTATCATTTCCCAATATATCTTAGCCAGGTTTGTTGTTTTTTAATCGGTAATTGTTTAATTAAGTATTTTTACTTCATTTAATACATCTGTGAGGGCCAAAACAATATATGGTATCAATAAATTCCCTTTGCAGTTTTTAAAAATTAAAAAAAAGACTTTTTGGACACCTTATATATTACATTACATCGTACGTCTCCATATAGTATATTCCATTTGCTATCTTTATTACTTATTTTATACTAGCAATCATATTTAATATTTCATACTAGTTGCCATACGCAATCATACTAGCTATAGTGCCTATACATACCATTTTGCCATTTGTTATTTTAAGTTTCATTCCATTCTTAGAATGACTCACATGTACCCAACAGATTGCAAGTACACGCCTCTGCCTCTGTTTCATTTATTGGGTTTAATATCAGCATATTCAGCATTAGATGACGGAATCAAACATGTCTTGGAAGTTAGATTCGATCTTCAACGCATGTTTGCTGATATAGAAAAGCATAAGGTAACGTTGCTATTATTCATTCAAATTAACTTCGTGTTTAATTCGTTTATCACACCAGACCATCGTGGTCCATATCAAATAACACAAACAAATCAATTAACACTGGCGAATACAAAAATAGCACAGTATATATAAATATCATAGTTAAATCGCGCAATATCGTCAAAATAATTGCTAATATGAATTGAGTTCGTTCATCATAAATATGCAAAGACACTGAAATGTTTAAAGTAATTGGAACGGATGATATAAGCATGCACACATGTAATATCCAAATGTACCCAATTATTGTAGAAAGACCGCTAAATTGCTGGAACTAAAACGGCCGCGACACCATAGGACTTAAAAAATAGTTCGTCATAGCTTATAGGTCCTATTTGTATGAAGACACCATAAGTGAGAAAGGAATAGAATCGGAGATAGCTTTATGCTAGTAATGTTTGCATTCAACCAGGGGTGTGCAACCTTTAATACGAGAGGGCCTGATACAAGTAACTGAGTGAAACCGCGGGTCGCACCTTTTTATGGAATAGGGCTTCTAGTAGTTGCAAGTACAAAAATTTAGGTTATTGATCTTATGACATGTGTCATTACTTTCGCACAAGCTAGCTGTTCAGGGATTGTAACGTCATATGCATAAATTGGAATCAAGTACTGGCTTTGCAACGCAAAGAGAGTGGGATTGCTCGTACGTACCATTAAACTAAAGTGAAAACTCGTTTCGCGGGACGCACAGCATTCAAAATTGGCATTTCTCCGCTTTTCCGCTTCTCCACTTTTCTTGCGGACCGCATTTGTCCCGCGGGCCGCAGGTTGCACACTCCTTCCTCAAAAACCTATCTCAACATGCAACAATTGTCACAATCTTGCCCACTTGTACAATCTATTCTATTTGTACCTGCTTCTTAAGCCTGAGTTATTACCCTACACCAGGGATTCCCAACCTTTTTTCGCAGTGGACACCTCAATTTTATACAAAGCCGTATGTACCCCCGAGTGTTTATTGGAGATATCCAAATTAGGCCACTTGCTGTCTTAAGAGAACTAGGTATTTAATATCAGCGTACTCAGTAGTATTACCAGGGGCGTAGCCAGAAATTTTCAAAGGGGGGTGTTCTGAAATTTTTCTTCGCCAAGTTAGATCGAAACAGCTAGCGGGCCCGATCAAACCCTGGAATCACGTGTTTTTAGTAGTCTTAGGGGTCTAAAAAGCATTTCAAGCTACGGAAAATTGCTATCTATGATACAGAAAAATGATTTTATTTTTTTTTTACATTTAAAAAAAAAAAGGTATCGACCCGCAAAATCACTCCCCTGGCTACGCCACTGATTATTACCATATTCAATTTTGGACTGCCAGGAAGAGGGAAGCCTTAGCCTAAGCTTTAATCATGTATTAACGTTCCGTAACACGTGCACCACTTGTCACGCACAATCGTTTTGATTATATACCACTTCTACCACCTTACTTACCTGTACTGTTTGCACCTCTTGTGACGATTTTCCTCACCTATTCCAAGTTGTGCTAATTTGGGCCTTTAAATCGCCAAAAATCAGTTATTCGCTCTACTACTGGTCACAAAAGGAGAAAAATTAACTAAGTTTTAATCACTAATATTGGTAGCATTACATTAACGACACTTTCGTTATAATCTTTTGTTATTCGAATGTATACCCGTAAAATATAGTTTTCTGAAAATAATGTACCTGGCTACACTCGTCCTTAGCATTATTAATAAAAAGTCCGTTTAAAGTCTCATAAAGTTAATATATATAACTGCAATATTCGGCCGACATGCCTGAAATGATTACAATGTTAGATTCAGTCTCTGTTTGCGACAATATATTGAATAGTTAACATTACCAGGAACGAATGTGCTTAACTCACAGGGTTGTCGCTAGAAAACCAAAAAAAAATGATAACTAGACATTTTGTCAGTTCCCAAGTTGGATTTTCACTTTTAAAAGAATAATCAGTTTCTTTTCAAAGCCTGAAAACTGTTTCAAGCATTCAGCCATATTGTGGGTTTCAAAATGAAATCAAATAGAACCTTATAAGTATATAGATGCTTTGTTCACCCCTGAAAGATTCTCCTTAAACCATATCATTGCAAAATTTTCAACGCTGATTTTGTGAATGTTTTGGAGAGTTGGCGCTTACGAACTAGCTCACTTGTTCAAAACTATCATTTGAGTTACCGCGCATTTTCTTTGTGATCTCATCTGACTTTCAAATTTTCCGCTGTTCTAGCGACCACTCTGTAGATTGCATGAGTCAGAATGCACCCCAGTTTGGGAATCTAGGCTTATCTATTTATAAATATTTCCAGGTTACAATAGCAGTCGCCGTCCCTCCTGTTATATTAGCGATGGTTCATTCCCCGCTGATTGATAAATACGATCTTTCATCCCTACGTGAGATATACAGTGGAGCAGCACCGTTGTCCAGAAAGATTGCCGAAGCCTTGACTAAGAAAATTGGATGCAAAGTCACGCAAGGTGGGTGATCAGCCCCCGCCTTATAGAAGGTGGACACCAGTCCCAATAAAAACTACAAACACCCCAAGGTGTGACCTGATACTTTCATTCCTAACTTAAATAAAAATATATTTGAATATTCAGAAAGTGGCTCATATGCCAGTGAGGATGATCAGACAAATATATAACACATTTTATAAGTTACAAATAATTGTATAATTAATAACAAAACATGTACCACCCCTTTAATTTTTGAAACATTGGAATTGCATTGTACCTTGGCGAAACGCAAAGTGTTAAATTAGTACAATATATAGAACATGATTACAATTCAACATTAACTTTAATTTTCAAATACTAAACATACGAAATTGGCCCTATATTAGTAATAGCTTTGACCAATATCATATTTTACTGGAACCTCGTTCAGCCCATAAGCTGTCTGTAGGTGGCAGCTGGCTCCGATGACCCTTTGATGATCGTATCTAGTAATTTGGCAAAACTTACTTGATTTGTTCCTCTATTTATTTTCATTTGCATGTGTATATTGTGTTTTCCGTTTTAACAAATCAAATAAATTCTCCAACTTCTGACTGGCGGTCCTGTAGTGTGTGCACCAAAATGGCGGAAACCGGAACGTAGTATGTGTACTAGTTTAGGGTTGGGATATTATACCAATTTGTATTAGTTCAGATCTGTTAAGAGTTTCGGGGCTCGTACCTAAATTAGGGCCTTACCCTAACGTAATAATAAGATGTTTCGGGCAATATTGTGAAAACATCTTCAAAGGTTGTAAAACATTTCATTCTAGCGTGGGGAATGACAGAAGCGGCTCCTATTTGTCACCACAATGCTCTTGTCACTCCGATCGAATCCGTGGGAGAAGTCGGAGTTAATACAAAAGTTAAGGTGGGTTAGTCTCGTAAAATTTGTCTAGTTGCTTTCTTCAGCGAGCTGTAACAATTGGGGAAGTTCCCAAGTTTAAAAGGTGGGAGATATTTTGTTATTAGTGACTGATCATCTGCGCCGGCATTAGATCCACTTTCTGAATATTCAAATACATTTCTATTCACGTTAAGAATTCAAGTATATTGTCACAACTGAAAATAAGGGCGGGGGTTGAAATTTTAGGGAGGTGTAGGGAAATCACTGGGGAACATGCAGTTTTAATTGGGTTTTACCAAAATTTCAGCCGTGGATTCGAGGGAATTTACTTTTGACTCTGGGTTGTGAAACATTTCGACACTGACTCCAAACTGAAAAATTCAAATGTTGATAATAAAAAATTTGCCGTGCGCAAGCCTTTAAATCAGTGGTTCTCAAACGATGGGGCGCGCCCCATTGGGGGGCTTGGAGAAAATTTTTTGAGGGGGCGTATTTTCAACGTTTTTTTTTTTTAATAAAACATACTTTCGCTTCCCTGTCTGCTATTTGCAGCTTAGTGTTAGCTAGTTATTTTGGAGATGGGGCGCGAGACTTGACAATTTATAAAAAGGGGGCGCTGCTTGAAAAGTTCGTGAACCACTGCTTTTGACTTTTAAGAAGTCCTCAGTAAAGCCACGCTTTTTGGGAGTCTGTAAAAAATTGAAACGTATTTCATAACCATTGTAAGGCCGAAATTACGACTTTGAGGATTTCTGTATTCCGACTACAGTGAAAACATGCCTAACTCGACTCGACTCGCAGCATTTTCATTTAGTGACTTTTGCCTGTTTTAAAAATCTATAAACTGATATATAAATTAAAGTCTTAAAATTTTTACAGTGAATTTATCGAATCCATATATTTTTTGGCTCTCAATTTAGATATATTAAATGAAGTAAAACTACTTAAACAGGTATTGATTATTAATAAACAACAAACCTGGTTAATATATATTGAGAACTGACTTAACAAAAATGAAATTGTTAATTAAGGAATTTTATGGACACCCTGTATATTGCATCTAATATAGCATGCTATATGTATATCTTCGCTGCATTGCCGTTGTTAAAAGGACAAATAAAACAACTTATGCTTTGGAAACTTTCTAGATTCTCGACGTGGGGACAGGGCAAGAAGTCGGCGTAAACCAAGATGGTGAAATATGCTTAAAAGGGCCTCAGGTATAAATTCATATTTGACTCTGCAATAGAAACAAATTTATTCACAACATTTCGGGTGTTTTGAAAAGGTGTGCCCTACTTGTCCTACGTCCCACTTGTTACCCTTGTCTCACATGCCCCATTTGTAAAACGCGGGACGAGTGTGACACGACATTTTCGAGACACCGCGACATTTGTACACCGGTACATGCTTCTTCTTCAGTGATGTTTGGGGGTAGCGAGAAGCATGCTGTGAACGCAATTTTGATATTTCAACTTTTAACATACAATACGCTGTAATGCTCAACACTCTTGGGATTACTATTGCTACAAAAGGTTGCGGTTTTTCCCAAAATAGTTCCTCCTTATATAGTAATATATTAGTGGCCGCTTGTACAGTGCGCTGTTCAGAGAGAAAAACATGAATAAACGTGAAAAAATAACATGCTCATATATTGTAGGCTGCATTACGAGTAATTCAGAACCACATTTACTTCGTTCTTTCACGCTACTCTTGTATCACTATTTCTCTTGAAAAAAAGCAATTATTATGTTTTTTTAATATTTTCGTTTTCTTGAGTTAAAATCCTATTTGTATATATGAAATGTATTATTGCTATTCGATTATCCAGGTTATGAAAGGCTACTACAAGAACCCTGCCGCCACCTCTGCAACTATAGACACAGATGGTTGGTTACATACAGGTAAAATCATACTTTCATGTTGAACTAGGACCGAGACTACAAAAATAAAAAAAATGTTTACTACAAAAATAATTATTGACCTTTTTCTATGATGCTGAGTGCTGACAAACATATATTTGCTATATTAACACGTAATCTCATTGTTTTACTCTGTGATTTGAATATGTTGATTCACAATCACGTAATGTAACTTACTGGATGTCTCTTATGAGTAACTACAGCGTTGGTCTACCTGAATCTAGTCATATATAGCTTATGGTCTTTGTTAGGAATTTTGTGAAACTACCACCGGATCGTTTTGAATTGAACTCAGTCGATGTTAACTTGTTCGCGCCATATTCCAGTAAACCTCACTCTATAGTAATTCAGGTAACTTCATAATTAAACCTTGAGGGAGTATTAAATATATTTTATCCCTTTGCCAGGTGATATCGGTCATTATGATGAAAATGGAATGATTTATATAATCGATAGATTGAAAGAATTGATCAAATACAAAGGATTCCAAGTAAGCATGATTTTATTTTTTGATTGTCTTTACTTCCTTAGGACAGTGGTTCTCAAACTGTACTTATGCTAATAATTTTGTTTGAAAGAGCCCTGTACAAGCAGTGACTTATATCTAACGAAATGTAAGGTTTGTACTTGTCACAAATATTTTAAAAGCCACTGATGTGTAAAATGATACTATGGCTGTTTCCCCAAGCTTCGTTTTCCCTGTTTATTTCGGTAACAATGCTCAATCAGCTAAGAGTCAATGATGACGTAACAATTGTAATTTTTCCAGCCGATCAGACTGGTATTCAAGCATGGTTGTAAACATTGCGTCAGAATCTTCCTGGTTCGGCATTGCTTACTCAATTTATCACACCCTGAGTGACGTGATGGGCAATGTACTTGATCACTAGATGTGTAATATGCAATCCCAACCGATTCGAGTCTAACGCTCCAACCCTGAAACGGGCAAACTACGGCCGCGGGCCAAATCCGGCCCGTTGGGTTATTCAATCTGGCCAGTTTAATGCTGTCACAATTAAACTAAAACCAAATTTTGATGTTTCAGTTAAGAAAAAAGTTCAATGAATTTGTTGAGATTGCTATTAAATTTAGTTCGGCACGGGGCTCATTGTTTTTCACTTTTATTTTTGTAACATTGTAAATATTGTTCATAAAATATAATTTCTTTCGTTATACTTACATGGCCCGCCAATCTAGATGGGCAAAATTTATGGCCCCGGGTCCAAAAACCTTGCCCACCCCTGTGCCTAACCGCTAAGCCAACGCACCAATAATTTGAGAAAAAGTGGATGATGATGAAAAATGTACACGATTAGTATTTTCTTTTCTCGTCTAAGGTTGTACCAGCTGAGATAGAATCTGTTCTACATGGTCATCCATTAATTACCGATGCAGCAGTAGCAGGAATACCTGACGAGGAATGCGGTGAATTGGCGAGAGGATTCATTATAAGGAAAGATCAATCTTTGACTGAAAAGGAGATCCATGAGTTCATGAAAGGTTGGTATAGCGAGTTAGTGCGTGTTGGCTCTGAATCAGTCTTGGTTCAAGCTATAGTCACGAGTCTACTATTCGGAAAAAAGTCTACAAACCATCTTACACTCTGTGTGAAGTAGCGTATAAGTTTACTGACGTCTGACTAGGTGTCGTGTGTTTGCTCAGAATCAGTCTCTGGTCAAGTTATAGTCACTAGCCTTCTCTACCATCCTGAAAAGTGTACCAACTATCATAAACTCTGTGAGGTGGTGTAATAGTTTGCTGTCACCTGTGTAAAATGATTCCGAGAATTCAAATAACCGATCGTAACATAACATAACCGTTCCGTTACTTCTGTAGTCTGTGTACAAGGTTGGGGTTAGGCCATAATTTTATTCCGATTTTTCTTATTTTAGTTCTATTACGAGTTCGGGGACTGTATGTGTTAGCCAGGTGATTATACCCATGCCCATAGATTTCAGTCCCTTTACACAATTTATAAAGTAGGCGAACAAAATTAGTTACCTCGATATTGGTACACACACTTCTGGAGCACCACCGTTCCAATATTCAGAGCAATTGTTTGGCCTGATTTATCTGATGTGCAATAAGCCTATAGGCAACTGCCGTGATAGAATTTAATTTTTCCGGTTTATTCCAGCAATTCAGTGGTTTCTTATCAATTCAAAGTCGGTACTTTCTGATTGACCTGTGGACAGGAGGTATATTCGCTTCGCTAAGAAAGACAGTCCCCGAACTCGTAATAGAACTAATAAACTCGGAATAAAATTATGGCCTATCCATAACCTGGTAGACACACTACGGGAGTATCCATTTTTGTAGTGTACACTGTGCATCACCTTAAATAGATGTGTGGGTGTATTTCAAATAAACATTTGAGCTATAATTATCATTTTTATTCAGACAAACTAGCTAAGTACAAGCAGCTACATGGGGGAATCGAATTCTGTGATTCAATTCCTAAATCACCGACTGGAAAAATTATGCGAAGAACTCTGAGGCAGAAAGCAGTTGAAGCAAATTCTTGAAAAATTAAAAAAAAATTTAAGAAAGGATTTCATCTCCCCAGTGATATCTGATATAATATAGCTTATTATCAGACGCTGATCAATTTCAATACAAAGTTTCATGAATAGGTGAAAAGCTTAGTTTTTACCACTTTCCCATTTTTCACAATTTGATCGCTTTTCCTCTGTCTTACTGTTTTATATACTTGCCGTATTTTTAAAGTCAATAGTTTTCTTCAACTCAATTGTGAATTAAATTTTCCCGAACTAATGTATTTTGATGCGGGGATTCCGGACAATTTCCGAAATTGGTATAGAGAACGTACGTTTTCCACGTAACAAACAAAATTTTATTCGTCATTTATTCTTTGTTAATCAAACTTGTCATTGTTCCGTATTATTTAATAATTAATATTATAACTAATCGAAGTATTATAGTACAATACAAGCGATATACAATATAGAAATATTTGATATATCGGCCAGTAATGCCTGAGCTCTCAATACCTTTCTCTATTTATATGCAAAAGAAACTCTTAAAACTGTTGCAAGTATAGAACAGATATTCAAAACTTCGTAAAAGTAAATTATAATTTATACCCACTAGAAGATTTTCGACAGAGCCTTGCTAACAAAAGAGTGAAGTTAATTTTTGTGTAGATGTATAGAGTTAGGCAAGGGAGAGACGTTAGTTTACTAATGTTGTTCATCCCGCAGGTTAATAGATTAACCTTTGAAAAAAAATAGCTATCTGTTTGCAGCCTACTTTATATAATTCCCACGGATATCTTAGCGTTTTGTGGTATGACTTCGATTAACTCTTATTTTTACTCAGCTCTGAGTGGGCTAGCCTTCACAACTCGAGTCGACAAGTTATTGGTCTCTTTGATATTTCCTTTCTATGCCAAAACTGATCGAAATATTCCACTGGATCTTTTTTACCCATGCAGTCATCTGCAATCTTTAATGTTTCAGTTGGATATTTCATAACTTTGCGAATGAATGTGAAATTCCAACGATACGAGTTGTTCAGGAATATGATTCTAGCCCGGCGCAAGAATTTTACTCGAGATATCAACCAAAAATTCCTTCAATAGTAAAATATTATTGAACAAGCCGGTAGGTTCCCGGGATCTTCGCTGGGATCGGCACTTCTATAAAACGTACCCAACCACGCAAAATTGCACTTTTAAAGACAGCGTACTGCACTGTTCGGGATACCAAAACAGCCATGAGTTTATTTTGAGCGCTGCCCGTCTCGTTGATATTACTTGCGCGATCGATAACCGCTTTCTGCTGTGGGAACTAACAGTAAAGACAGGCATATGCGAAACCAACGCCGATGAACAGCATGGATATAGGAACCATTGCTCAAGTGAAATGACCATCAGTAAATCAAGTAAGTTTTGGCAGAAAAATGTGTTTTTCACAAGATTACTTACGTTAACATAACTGATAAATTCTTAGTTGTGCAAGATTAAACCAAAACAATTCATTTTCTTATCTAGATATCGAAGGTGCGAAACGCTTGGATATATAGGATTTACATATTTACCCTCGGAGATAGGAAACCCGATAAGACGGCTTAATCATATGTTGAACCACAGCCTCTAGTCCGGTTACCATTTCAAGTTATTCGCTCTCCGAAGCGTGGACTTGATTGTGGAGGAAGTCGTGATCGGCCAGCTATTACGTGAACCACCCTGCGGCGGCGAAGAGCCCGATGTTTGCCAAAAACAGCATTAAATAATAGTGTTAACGCGTCTTCGCCACATTTAGTTTAGTGAATGACCACGCTATATTAATCAACAGAATAATGTGGCGCATTAGTGAATCAATATGTATTGTCAAACTTCACTGCCATACCTATCGACAGCTCAGCAACTCACAGAATAATGTGGCGCATTAGTGAATCAATATGTATTGTCAAACTTCACTGCCATACCTATCGACAGCTCAGCAACTCACAGAATAATGTGGCGCATTAGTGAATCAATATGTTTTGTCAAACTTCACTGCCATCTCGCGGTAAAGTAACAAATATAACGGTAATAATCGGTAACGATAATCTATTTCAAATAGGCTCGCAAGCCCGATGATGTTGGAACTTGAGCGCGTTGTAATCCAGCAGTAATCAGCCCATCTTATCTGATATTTTCTAGATTGCAGGAATACAATCAAAGATGCGAATCGACTTCTTAAATGGTAATGTTAAGTGGTGGGTAATTTTATTAAATTAACATTTTCTGTTCAGTGTTCAACATTTAGTTACACAATTTCTGTTAAAAAAAATCTGATCGAAGATTCGAAGCATAAAAGGTACCAGATTTATTAAAATTTACAGTCGGTCATAGATGCGCTGCACAGAGAGCGGAGACATTCCAACATTTTTGTGGAGCCCGTGGAATCTTAACGAAATAATACTAAGGACCCCTGCGCATAAGTGTTGTAAGTTCAATAACAGTAGCAAATTTGATTGTATCCTTGCAATTGAATGGCAGCTTGTGGAAACCGTACATAGGAGCCTTAGGTTTCCGTAAGTAAGCATACGATGTATGGGATGCCAAATGTTTGTTTTATTGCAAGTTTCACAATCCAATTGATCCGAATACAGATATACTGAAAAATACACTCAACTTCTCGATGCAGTCAAAATCACAAGGACATGAAAAGCAAGATATATTCCGACACTCGGTGCGAACCGGAAACATACGTCATCAAATAGGTCGATACGAGAAAGGCTTTTTACATATCGCGATAATACAATGACTTATTCTGAAGAACACTATTAATATGAAGGGATTAAATAACAATATAATCCATAGTTACAACAATCCACATTCGCTACAATATAGTAAGTAACAGATTGGTTCATGCCTTTGTTAAAGTTTGAAAATCGCTAAAGTGTCAAGGCTTTTCTAATTTGAAATATGCAGAATAAAATGTGTTACAATTTTCAGGCTCTTTCTGGTCTTTTGTCTGGTTATTCGCATTCCTTCCGTGGCATGCTGCAGTAGAAGATGCAATACCCTGGGAGTATCTCTTTTTGTCGCTTTTCCTGAGTTTCATCGCAATCGCAGTAATTATTATTACATGTATGTACTAATATTAATTGCGAAAAACTTCGATAATTTGCACAAAATCGCTTTTACAGAAGGGCGAATAGTAACTACACTTAGAATATTTTTAATAAAGTCGATTTTGAAATCAAACATAACTTATGCAACATTTGAGATATCTCAAGAAAAACCATCACATGCGATCAGATGCTATTAGTCATTTAAATGTTATTTTGGACAAAACTATTGCCTTGACAAATGTAAGACATTATATATATTGAAATATTCACTTTCAGGCAAGATCTATATCGATAAAATATTACGAGATCAACTCTTGACGGAGGCATCAGGTACGCTGACATTTTATGTAATTATACTGGAAGAAAAAAGATATCATAATCATAAAAATATCATGAAGTCAGGGGTGTGCAACCTGCGGTCCCCCAAAGAAATAAGTTATAAATTTAGTTTATTCTGGTTCTTAATCTTCAAAGAAATGAACTTTAAATTGCTAGCACTTCAATTAAAGCAAGTTTGGTAACAAGTAGTCAAGATGCAAACAAGCCTACAAAATTTGTTTCAACTATCAAAATTGTACTTTCAGTTGCAGCCCCTGTTACAAGAGTGAACCTCAGAAATGGCGCAGGTTTGTCCCTTTCAGTCGCGAACATTTTACTATTATATTTAGTTACCATATTTCATGGACCATAAGGCGCATTTTGAATCTTTCTTTTAAAATTGATCATGCGCCAATGTGCCTAATGTATGAATCAGGTAGTGTTTTTTGAAGACATTTAAAACCAGTACCGGTATTGCTTTAAAAACCTGTTGCGCCCCATGTATGAATAAAATCCTAATCGAAACATTTAATCGAAAGTGCGTCTCATGCTCGTGAAATACGGTATTTATATATCTATCTGTACAAAAAATGTTAAAAAAGTAACACCAAACTAAATCTTGAAAAGTGCGTTCGAAATGAAGGACACTTTGAACATCTACTTTAGTTTTAATTGCCTGATTTTCAAAATAAATAGAAACTTTTTCTCATTTAAAATAATTGGAATTTCATTTGTAAATCTCCTTGTAATCATGCTCTGGACCCCCGGGGGTCCACCTGAACCCCGTTGGAAGCCCTGGCTTAGCTGGTTGATCGCAAGTTTTCAGTACAGCTACAATTTTACTATTTTATATTTTGATGTTTTTGAAAAATACGATGTTTTGTTAATGCTATTCATATTGAGTTGAATACGTATCAATTTTTAATATTGAGCCACTTGGCGAATAAAAAATTAAAAATATCACTGTAAAATGTAGACTTCAAATACTGATATTAAAAACGTGTTCCACGTTAGACAACTAAATCTTTTGAATCGGGATTACGACAATCTATGGAAATTGTTTTTTCAGGTTTTGCCCATGTTGAAAGTGTCAGCTTGATGAATGTCACAGGTTTGTCACTTTGATATTTTACCCGAAATACAATAACAGAAACGGTTGAAATTGCCATGAACATATTGCTATTCGATTTAGTTATACAGGGTGGACTGAAAATAGGTTAACAGTTAGGATTTACATATATTTATCCCGGGGGAGAGGAAAGCCGATAAGACGGCTTATCCATATGGCGAACCACGGCCTCTCGTCCGGTTACCATTCCAAGTCGGGTATGGGATTAGATTTACTGTATTGTTTGTTTTCGGAAGCATGGACTTGGTGGTGGAGGAAGCCGTAACCGACCAGCGGTTACGTGAACTACCCAACGACGGCGAGGAGTCCAGCAATACTCTCGCACATAACCATCCCTGCATGGGATTCGAACCTGCGAACCCACGCAGAGTAGTTAGAGGTGCGGTGGCGAGCGTATTCCTAATGCTTAGCCCGTTGAGCCACACCGCCGCGCCAAATTTATTAAAGTTATTAAATTAATTAACTATGGATAACAGGTATCCCACTTTTGGCACACCCTGTATATTAGGGGTCTCAAACTCGCAGCTCGGGGCAAATTGCGGCCCGCAGGATAATAGTTCGTGGCCCCTGCTTCTGTATGAGAGTTTAATGTTGATGTGTGTCACTTATCTCATCTCGCATGAATATTGTCTAATACATTCGGTATAAGTTCTCGTATTTTTGACGCATAATCACTAATTATTAATATCTTCAGTTTTTTTTTGTTTAGTTATAATTTGCTCATTTATGTTTTCAACTTGTTTTGTGTTAGAAAAAAATAAATAAATTTGAGACGATTTGAATTTTCTAAACTAGACTTTTATTGTGGAAAAATTGACGCGGCCCAGACCCAAACAGACTCTGCCTCAAGTGGCCCCTAGATAAAATGAGCTTGAGACCCCTTTTCTATATATTTATATCCATTTCTCTCTATAAAAAATATATATATATATTTATGGAAAACGTTTATCTATACATAATTTGCTAGAATGAATGCTGAGATTATGCCAAATCACGTTTCAAATATAGATGCTCCGACGAACCCGATTTACTCCATAAATGAAATCAACCCAAGCAAAGATACTACACAATATACAGAAATAAATGAGCGCTTCGAAAGTTCAGGAATACGGTTCAAGAAAATTGAAAAGGTGACACGAAATGTTCCGTAGATTTCGTCAATCACCTGATATTTTTTGGGTTCTTTGCAAAGAATCTCTTTTACAATCCGTGTGACCTTGTTTTCATTATGTATACTCTAAAGCCGTGAAAAACAAATTTCATTTTCTGCTGAAAGTAAAATAAATTGTATCCAAAATTTACATTCATTTGGAGACTGGCTCAAATAAGTAAATTGGAAATTACATATATCTCTAACATATGTATTACCTATAAATAGTCCTCCATCAAACAAGTGATTTTATCTATGTAAACATATTTCTTAGTCCCATGTAGATGATTAGATAACAAGCATTAAAAAGCCAAGACTTGTTTTTTAGATCGAAATTATTGAAAATGAGACGTTATATTTGGAATTTTGCAAATCCAAGAGCACATGTGAACAATACCATGGAAATCATGATGTCACAACAATGCTTTTTCACGGAACACGACAAGAGAACGTTGAAGGCATTTGCAAAAACGGATTCCTTGTTAAACTAGCGGGGACATTAAATGGTATGCAATAAGATTTTTTCTCTGAATGTCTAATTGAGTTTGTGCTTCGGAAAAATTTACAAAAAATGTTTGGTGATATTGGCTAAATTTATAATCGAGTAACGAACTGTTAGGTCTGAGTTTTGTTAGAATGAAGTAGAAAATCAGCATCAATTTTTCTTCACTTTTCAAGAGCATTATATGGGAACGGAATCTACTTTGCTACAGACTCCGAACTTGCACGGAATTACACAGGCAGTGCAACTGTGCGAAAAATGTTTTTTGCTGAAGTCGTAACAGGAAATTACCCCATTGGGAAAAAGGAAATGACGCATACACCTCTGGACACCGAAGGTCACCCGTATGACAGCGCTGTGGATAGTTTGACAAATCCTAGGATATTTGTTGTTTTTCGGGATTCTTGCGCTTACCCAAAATATCTTATTACTTACACAACTGATGACGCGGTCTGAAAGGTTTTACCAATGAATGTTTTCGCGAGCATCGAGCTCCGTAACAATGACCAATGTGCAATAAGTCAACAATGACGTACCAGGAATATAATTGTCGCTCAGACAGTCATTTAAGCATTGGTGTAAATAATGCCTAGTTTTCGTGTTTTGTTGTCAATTTTCAGTTGTGTTTCCCAACACTAGTGGCAAATCTTTTAACTTTGTTGTAAATATGTCTGCCGAGAACCTTTAGTTTAGTTGTGGTAATAAAAAATTAGTCTCTCAAACACTGCAATAAACTGGCCTAAAATTAGCTATCAGTGCTTGAAAAAGACACGTGTATTATTGTATTTAATTTGGTTCGAACATATAATCCAGCTTGAGGGCGCCAACTCTCAAAAACACTCTCAAAATAAGCATTTTCTAATAGGTTAATAACAGGAAAATAGTTATTTTTAGTGGTTAAAAGTCGGGGAAACATCAAGCAAGGTCAGATCATATAAAGCTTCTTCGCGGATCTTTGGTAAAAATTGTTGAGAAGCACCCATTTGACGGCCGCATGGGTATGATGTGCATTGCAGTTGTTGAGCGGCGTTTCATTTCAAATTCCAAGTTTCAAAATTAAGGTTTTAATTTTATGGGAATTGTGCCATGTTAATATATATTTCGTAGAAGCATGTATACGTTTTCTAAATTTCAATAAAAAAGAGAGTGTTCTTACAATTCTGAATTCAACCAATAGAAAAGGAATTCAGGGATGGCAAAACTACCATCAATATATTTGGTACTCCCGAAGTATGTGAACCAAGATGGCGGACACTTGAACGTAGTATGTCGACCAGGTTAGGGTTAGGCCATAATTTTAGGTAAATTATGGCCTGACCCTAACCTGGTACACATACTACGTTCCGGTGTCCGCCTTCTTAGGTCACATACTTCGGGAGTACCAGATATTTGATTTCCCCAAATTCCGGAAACACGATTCCAGCGAGCTTATGCTTATCACCATGCTTGAAAAAATTTGGACTGCGTGTGAGCGCCATCTATGATTTCAAATGTTAACTATTGAGGTCTTGCGTAGCCATCCCTCAATAAAATTTTTGACAAGTGATTCTGCGGCCTTTGAAGTGAGGCACGAACAAGTATGTGCACAAGTTTAGAGTTAGGCTATAATTGACGCTTGGAACTGGGGCAGAACCTGAAAATGCAATTATAATGGCTTAGAGCAGGGGTATCGAACTCGTGGGCCGCATGCGGCCCCAGAGAACTTCCAATGTGGCCCTCGAACGCTTAACAATAATTGCAATATTTTTGAAGTTTTTTTTTATTTAAATGTAATACATTTTTCAAACCTTTCCTCCTGTATTTTGGCTATTATGATGACTGCTTTCTGCCACTGACCCCCAGCTAACACTGCTTTCTGCCCGCCCTACCCTTACCGGCCTCCATTCTGTGTTTTGGATAGATACTATGAGACTGCTTTCTGTCAATGACCCCTCTCCCCTAACTTGTGCGTTGGCCATTCTGTCATTCCCACTTTCTGCTTATTTTTATTTTCTCTCAACTTTCTGCCACTGTTCTAGCCACTCTGACTGGTCTCCGACTTCATTCCTTATCACGCTACTACCTACTTGGGTTCGAACTCGTAGTCTCACATACAACTGTACCAACACGCTTCCCCTGCGCCACGTCGTATTAAGGAGGGTATTTGAGTGTCGGGTTGTATTAAGATGAAAATTGAATTTTCGGTTGTATTAAGATGAGAGTAGGAATATTTGGTTGTATTAGGACGAGAATTAATATATTTGGTTGTATTACGATGAGAATAGGGATATTTGTTTGTATTAAGATGGAAATTGGTATTGTTTGGTTGTACTAAGACGAGAATTGAGATATTTGGTTGTATTAAGATGGGAGGAGGTATTTGGTTGTAGTAAGATGGGAATTGGGATATTTGGTTGCATTAAGATGGGAATAGGGACATTAAGATGGAAACCTTGCTTACACATTTGCGCCAGAATTTTTATAATGATTTCCAACTCCTTTCCCAGATATCCGGTTATCATGCGCTTCGCGCTATCGCTGGTTCAGAACTATAAAAGAGGAAACTCACAAATGATCGAATTAATATTTATTATCATGTTTTGTTATATACAGAAAAAATATGGAGACAGCTATGAATTTATTTACTGAGAAAAAGGTTTCAATAGACAAGACGACCAATTCAAAGCATGGTTTATAAGATTATTGATAGAATAATAGTAAAAGAACAATGTATAAGTCAGCAGTGGAAGGATTCAAAGGTTTTTGAAAACCGTTCTTGTTTCATTGTTGTTTTAGTTCAGATTGATTCTCTGAAATGAAGAAACCCGTTGTTAACTAGTTCGATAAAGAAGAGAACCAGTTCCTAAAATTTTAATTTTCGCCACTGAAAGTAAGTAATAATGAATGAGGCAAGATTCATTTATTAAGACAAACATATTTGTGTGGCCTTTGTTTAATCATAATAACAGGTCGACTTCAGTGTGAAATGAAAATATAAGTAGTTTCACTTTCATAAACACGTAATATAATCCCTCTCATAAATAAAATCAGGGTTTAATGGCTAGACAACAGACTTTGCAAAAGTATACGATTTAATAAAATTGAAAAGTAATTTAAGATTAGATTATTTATGGGTCGCTTATAAATTATGCATAATCAGACACGGGCCAGTAATAACTAGAACATTTAAAAATTGATAGTTTATATAATCAACGGCCATAGAAAAGCAAACGAAAATTTTAACAATATATATATACATAACAACTAGGTCATTTAACTGTTTTGTCTTTTCACATCATTGATTCCGTCAACGAAGTTCTGTTAGATTTTGAGCTGGTTTTATATTTCACAGATGCCACCGTGTGATAAATAGGATTGTGAATGATTGACCATTCCCTGACCTCGATGCTCTTGCACTGTTTCTTTTCTGACATAAACAGCAACTTTTGTGTTTGATGTAGTGGATTCCGGAAAAGTATAAAACCAGACTTCTTTTGCTATAGTGATGGGTTCTCCACTTGACAGTAAAAGCTGATTGTTCTGTAGCATTTAAACAAATAGTGTTAATGCGACTGACATATTAGATGAAGAATGAAAACATTTGCTTGTGGTAATAGGCTTCATAAAAAAGGTAGTCCAGATAGACGAAGTATGGTGGGTAACGCTACATGAAACCGCTTATGTGTTGGGTGAAAACTAGAAATTACTGAAAATATCACCAACTATAAAGAATTTTATCCCAATAAATAGTCCAGCTGCACTCTAGCACAAATGTATTTCTGTAACGTTTCAGTCAGACTTCCTCAGACAAGTAGATTACAAAAATGACAAGAAATGAATAACCATGCAGTCTAAATATAGCAATAAATAAATTTGTTTAACATTGGAATCTTAAATCAATTATGACGTAACGATGAATAAACATTTAATTTACATTTAGTCATGGAAGTAATGATGGGAAAATTAGAACTCAGATGTTAATTAAAAAATAATCGCATTCACGAAAAATGAGTAACTAAATTAAAATTAAGGTTGTGGGCACTTAGAGAACAATAAAAAAGTGAAATCAACGTGTCACTTGGACATTAATAATCGAAAGGCGGGTCAATGATGTCACAGTATATTGAAAATCATATTCTACATTTCAAATTTTTCTAATTATTCAATATCTTAATAAATCATAAGGCATCGTTTACCTGCTCATCATTTGGTAATTTTATTTAAAAAAAAACGCTTTTGGCCAATCGTTGACCCGGTTAACTTTATGAAAATAAGTCTCTGCTGAGATTATGATTGTGAGATAATAAAATGACCTTATACTTCATCCCGGTCCAGGTTGCAATCCCTGACCGGCCAGCAGGAATCATTGAACGTTGATGAGTGCGCAGCAGCTGGTAATGCTTGAGGTCGTAAATATTTGCAAGTTTTCCGTTCATTGATTTGCAGATTGATTCAGCTTTGTTTAAATTGATGTTCTGCCTATCATACACGACTATTCGGTAGCATTTTTTCTTGTATGTGACATCACACTTATCTGAAAACATTATTGTGGTCATTGAATATTTTATGTTAAAAAAGACAGCGTTTTCACAAATGACGTCACAGAATCTGGTAATAAAAGTTTTTCCGTTTGTTAGTTCAATTCAACTTCCTCCTGGATTCTATTAATTCTAGAGAGAGAAAATCCGATACGACGAAACAAGAACCGCGGAACAAATAGGTTTCAGATTGCAAGTTCAGATTATGGTGGTGGACGGAGTCGTAACCTACTAGTGGTGGAGTTAATCGCGCAGCGACGACCAGGAGTGCAATACTTATTAGATAAATTAAATTTATTTGTAAGCGCGCCATGTAAATACTTTCCCAACGCTTTGACGAGTGTGACATATTTTATAGTTGAATCATAAAACACAAATATAAATTACTTTCAGCCTTTTTCTTATCATCACGACTCTTCTTGATCAGTCTGACGATATCTGTGAGGAAATTGATTTATTCGTGAGTAGGGTAAAGTGTTTCAAATCAGTTTTTGCCATTTCATGATGTCCAGAGTTTTTTTCCTTACAACCATAGGTATCTGTGCTCACCAAATGGCAAAACACCAAATATAAAAGCGTTGTAAAAACTATCTTTCGCAAAGTTTTATGTAAATCCTGATATATAATTGTAGTCTCAAAACAGTTGTGAATAATTTTTACCAATTTTTTTTCCAATGTTGAAAATTAAAGACGCAATGTTTACCGTCACACCCAGAATGTAATAAATAAAAATGCAATGCCAAAAAACGGAAAACGGGGTCTGACGTTTCACCAAATAATGGCTGTTTGTTTTGCGTCCAATTCGGAATGAAAATGAAAAGTATTTTTTCTAAAAACCGTAACCACTACATAGTTTATTTTGAGCCATTGCGTAATTATGAATCAAAGATCAGTCATATGTTTAGTGCTAGTAACTATTTGTGAACCCAAGAGAAAATCATAGAGTAGGAAGAACTCACCGGACCCATCGTTTTTCTGTAAAATAAAATAAAATGCAGATGATTCGTAAAGTAAATAAAACACGTGAGTTGTATCAGTTGCTGTAGTTCAAAGAGGTCAGGCAAGTATGATTGGGCGAATATAGGGAGCTTTCAAAGTTTTTGGATCGATGGCGAGGTAGTTTGACCGTTGGACCCAGCAGTTTTAGCAACTAGAGATGGAAATTTCTGTTTCAATTGCCTACACCTAGCACAGGATGTAAAACATAAGCAATGTCGAACAGAAAAGCTTCCAATCCTTCAAACAACAGCAACACCAGTGGGTCATTTCCAGTAGACTTATTCGGAGGTGGAGTAAAAAAACACCTGATTAAAAACAGCAACTTTAATTTTACCTCGCAATTTCCAACTTGGACGAGTTTCCCATTCACGATCTCAGAAACGCAGGCTCCAGCTGTCACAAATAAAACGAGGTATTTAAAGTTAAAAATGAGGAGCATTTCGCAACAAATTTCAAAAATGTCGCCAGACCACTGATATAGTGTGGAATCATTTGAAATGATTTGTTATTACTTATTAGCATTCTAGCCCTCCAGCACTAGTCAGTGGTGAAAGTAGACAAAAATTGACTGCATACCAGTGTTGCAATTTCTAACAAGTAATTATATATATCCTTATCTTACCGGGTACTATTATCTCTGCAAGATAGCCACCGATAAGAGAGCTAAAAAAAATTATTTTGAAGAATTCCATATTCTCTTTTAGAAGGATTTGGTATCGCTAATATATACTTAGCTATATATCAAATATCTGTGAAAATAATGGAGGGTATTTTAGCTGTCGTAATTGTCATGTTTAAAGTATTTGCCTGAGGTGCAAAATGACAATTATTAACGCGAGGGTATAAGGTACATTAACTGGAGAGACACTTAATAAAGCTCACTGATTTTGAATTACACGGTTAGTGAAGTTGGGTGACCCCACTTGAATTACGTATGACCCAACGAACTAGTCTAGACGAGCAATGGCCGAAGGCAATGAGCCACCCTAAAATCAATTTCTTGATACTTTCCAGTGCGACTACCACAGTTATACATTCATGTCCCTATCTAGTTTTAAATTACTAGTATTCATATCTCCAGCCGCCCATATGTTACCATTGACGTCATTTCCCTCCACCACAGGGAAATTTTACGCGTTTTGACTGAAATTTTTTTGTGCGTCTCTTATGCGGCTGTACTGAAAATACCAATTTGCGTAATAATTTTTCCTTTTGTCGGGAATTTTGTTTCGCGCATAAGTAACGCGAATAAAATGGTATCGTTTTCCTCCAAAAATAGGACAGAGTCTTGTATGAGTTTTCTTCGAAAAATAAAACCAAAGTTTTTTTGTGTGTGGGTGAATGTCTTTTATTTTCATTTATCAAGAACAAATTAGAGAATTACTAAATTGCTAAATATACAAAATATGAGAATCAATATGCTTTTACTTATAAATAACACGTTTTTGGTAAAAAATTCTAAGCATGGAATGTTTAGGTCATTGGATCTTTTCCTCTTCTACACGTTTTATATTAATCTTCTAATACGCGTAGGAGAGATTTCACACTATCAACTAGGTTTCAAAAAATGCGCTATTGACTTGGTCAGAGGTGAGCAAAATGCGGCCCACTAGGACAAATTGTGCGTCTCGCGGAGAAATGCCAATTTTGAATGGTGTGCCCGCGAAAAGTGTTTTCAATTTAGTCAATCTAGTACGTGCGAGCAATTCCAATCCTTTTGCACATCAGAGTGCCACTGCAATATTAGCAAAACTAGCTAGCAAAATCCCGTTGCAAAATACACAATGTTATGAAAAACGTGTTTCTCACTGAATTCGGTGTGACAATAAATATGATCAGCAGTTTGCTCATGCGTTTTAACTCATCATTTATACAAGGACCACTAGTAATGCCGTAAGATCAATACCAAAAATAAACAATTTTTTGTACCTACAACTACTTGAAAGGCTATCTTAAATAAAGGTACGGTTCGCTGCTACACCCACTTGTATTCAGCCCCACTGGTTTCATATCCCTGGACTAGGTCTCATTTTATGGATAGCGCTTATATTAAAATATTTTTTTTAAAATTCGGACTAGGTCTTATTTTCAGTGAAACGCGGTATGATCGTTTTTTCTGACTTGGCCTATTGCTACGTCTCCTACGTCAATCGTGAGGATATTTAGAAAATATGAGTATTGCGTCGGAGACAATTCATAACAAAGTACTGTAAATATACAGCTTCATGAAATTTTCTTCGACAACAACTGCTCAAAATTTTCTTCAAAAATTTAAAATTTAGATATCTTTGCTATTTTGAACCACATTCCGGACTCGATCGTTGCTTATGAGAAACTCCAAATATATATCATTAGCGACCATTTACACTTGTAATTCGCCTATTAAAGTCAGATGAACTGTATTCCACTATGCCGATTATCCCTAGTACAACCCTGGTCGATTAGAAATCTTAGCGCTGGACGATTTAATAAACACATATTCCTAATGTTACCTCAACAACTCGCAATGAACTCAGCTCGGCTATTGAAGTTGAGTGACCCGTCTTGATTAACGCTTGACCCAACGATCTAGTCTAAACGAACCACAAATACACCTTGTGGACCTGGCGACAATGAGCCACCCTGAAAATTTTTCACTGAAACTTCTCAACACGACTACCACAATTATAAATTCATGTCCCTATCTAATTTATAAATATCAGTATTCATTGCTCAAGCCGCCCGTATGTTACCGTTTACGTCATTTTCCTCCAGCACACTGAAATTTTACGCGTTTCAACTGAAATTTTTTTTAGTGAGTCAGTCAGTACGCCTGTGCTGGAAAAACCAGTTTGCGTAATCATTTTACATTTTGTCGGGAAAATTTTGTCGCGCATAACAAACGCGAATAAAATGGTACCGTGTTTTCCGTAATATTTGAATTTTCTTTTAAAAAATAACACTAAGGCATATTTTTGAAGTCTAAACGAACTAAAAATATCGAATATACCTTGCTGACCTGACGACAATAAGCCACCCTGAATAATTTTCACTGAACCTTCGGACCTCATGAATTATGAGCACCAAGATGGCGCACAACCTGAACTCAGGTTGTGTACCGGGTTAGGGTTCAGGTTATGCGACATCTTGGTGCGCATACTTCAGGAGCACCGAACCTTCTCAGCACGACTACCACAATTATACATTCCTGTCCCTATCTAGTTTATGAATAATAGTATTCATACCTTAAGCCGCTCATATGTTACCATTTACATCCATCACAGTAATATTTTACGCCTTTTAATATTTTTTAATTATTTTTTGTTTGAATCACTTATGCGACTGTGCTGGAAAAACGAGTTTGCGACGAGACGGAAAAACAAGTAAAAATTTACATTTTGTCGGGAATTTTGTGTCGCTCATAAGTAACGCGTATAAAAATGGAACAGTGTTTCTCCAAAAATAGAAACAGGGTCTTATTTCAATTTCCTTTCGAAATATAACACTAAGGCTTATTTTTGGCGTATGTCTTTTATTTTCATTCATCAAGAACAAATTTACAAAGTAGATAATTACTAGATTTTTAAATATACAAAATATGAGAATCGGTATGAATTTACTTATAAATAACACGGTTTTATTAAAATTTTTGCTAAGCATGGAATATTTAGGTAACTGAACCTTTTCCTCTTTCACGCGTTTTATTTTAATTCTCCAAAAGTGTAGGAGATTGACTTCAGTGGTGGAGCCCTGAAGTGTTAAAAGCTCATGGTGCGTGGTCAATATGAGCCAGTAACCGCTGTATATCGGAGCGGGAGCCCTGCCGGCAGGAGTAAGACCAGCAGGGAACATTTTCCCCAATTGCTGAGATGACGAACGTGTAAATACAGAAGAAAAACTATTTGAATTATATTTTTGCTGGCTGCGTTTGAAGGAGACTTAACAAACTCGAGAGATTGCGACTGTGATTGAATTTTTTGTGTTATAGTGTTTGTTCCATTTCATTCGTCATGAGTTTGATTTTCTTCCACTTATGCTGCCATGTTAGAACGTCTCTGGTAAATATGCATCTAGTTTGAAGGGGGTGGGGTACACAAATTTTTGAAAATTGGATATTTGGTGTCTTGTGAATTCAAATTAGTGCAGTTTCCATATCTGTTTCACATTTAGGGCAGGAAGTTTTTTTTAGAATAAAACTTGTTGAGTTTCATTCTGAACAAGGAAGGAGCTCTGTCGCGGACTAAAGTGTCCGTGTTTTTTATTGTGTGTATATATATTTTTATGTTTATAAACAGCTATGTTTACCCTTGTTTGAGTCTGTTTTGTCGGATCTGGACTCAGACCACTCATTGCACGCGAGAGAGAAAATAGATAGGATAGAATTTACATATTTATCCCGGGGAAGAGGAAAGCCGATAAGACGGCTTAATCTTATGAGGAACCACGGCCTCTCGTCCGGTTACCTATCTAGGTCGGGTATGGGATTAGTTAGCCAGTTACGATCAGCGGTTACGTGAACCACCCTACGGCGGCGAGGAGTCCAGCAATCCTCTCGTACATGATCATCCCCGCATGGGAATCGAATCTGCGATTCCACGAAGAGTAATCAGAGATGCGGTAGCGAGCGTATTCCTAACGCTTAGCACGATGCGCCACACCGCCGAGTCAATCTCTCGTTACTAGCGTAACCTCTACTGATAATGAAATGCTAATGTTTGAAAAAATCTGTGCGCAGAAAACATATAAAAAACGCTGCGATTTTGCTCCATTTTTAAATTATATATGTTGCAGGCTAGAGAGCAAAACATTGCGTTAGATTTTTCTTTAATTCCAGGAGCGATATATGGAAACGGAATCTACTTTGCTACGGACTCCGTACATGCTGTGTCAATAAACAAGATAAACAACAACATAATAATATTGATAATAACAAGAGTGCTATGCTCAATCTATATGGACACGTATCGGTAGCGCTCAAATTCACTGTAACTTACCAGCAGGCTCACGAAACCGACTGAAACAGGTGATCACGTGATCAGTCACTATAGGTTCGTGGAATCGCCACGTGGTGGCAAATTTCGATGACGTCATAGCTCACAACAAACGAATCTCATGAAACTCACAAGAATATTTGAAGTTAATAAAAAAAAATTCCATCTTTAACCACTGAAAATTTCGAAGTAATTGGTCCAGTAATCAAAGAGAAAACCGTTTTTCATAACGTGTCAAAGAACAACGACAACAAAAATACGAAAACGATCGTTATGTCCACTAACGTGCCCTACAGGTAACATAAATAATATACTTGCGACATTTACAAAGTTGACTCTGACCACCGGGGTTGCAACTGAAAGTACTCAGCTTTTTGTAATGAATTTGACCAATAAACTAATTAGACACTGTCCAAAACATTTTACGCGAACTCATTGTTTTTTTCGCATATGCTGCAACTGTCAGCAGTTAAGTCACTATGCCAAAAATTTAACAAACTAATTTAGACACATTGCCTATTACTTTATTTATTACAAAATACCATTTCCATTAGTAACGTTTAATAAATAATTTTTGAATTTTTACAAAAAGAAGAATTAAGCATTATGTGTGCATAAACTATATTTTAACAATTCTTAGATTTGCAAAATTAAAACTGACAACATCTATTTGCTTGTTTCAGGTTCTATTCTGTGACATCACAATATGAAGTTACTGAGTTGAGAAAGGGTTGCTTGATCATTGGAACAGAAAACATATTTATGATTATCAGTCTGAATTTGATCAGACAAAAGGTTACAGAAATACATTTTTGTTGATGTGCGGAAGGAATGTTGAATTGCAAATATTCACGATTATTCAAAACTTTGTTCGGTATCCAGCATTTGTAGAGATTTCGTTGTTAAAAATAGGAACAAGTTCTAATTTCCGATGACAAAAAGTTGATGTTAAAAATAAAATGTAATGTTAAGACTTTATTGGTAAAACCCTTTAAAACGCTTCATCAGTTGTGTAAGTGATAAGATATTTCGGATAAGCGCAAGAATCCAGAAAAACGACAAATATTCTAGGGTTTTTCAAACTGTCCACAGCGCTGTCATACGGTTGGCCTCTGATATCCGGAGGAGTGTGGGTCATTCCCTGTTTCCCAATCGTGTATCTTCCCGTGATAACTTCAGCCAGAAACATTTTCCGCACCCCTGCACTGCCTGTGTAATTCCGTGCAAGTTGAGAGTCTGTAGCAAAGTAGATTCCGTCTCCATATAATGCTCCTAAAAAGTGGAGAAAAACCTAGAATTGGATCTAACAGTTTGGTAAAATTATGGTTTTCAATTTGAGGTTACGGTTTTATATTTAGCCAATATCAACAAGCATGTTTTGTATATTTTTCCGGAGCACAAATTCAATTAGACATTTAGAGAGAAAATCTTATTGCATACCATTTAATGTTCCTGCTAGTCTAACAAGATATCCGTTTTTGCATATACCGTCAACGTTTTCTTGTCGTGTTCCGTGAAAAAGCATTGTTGTGACATCATGGTTACCATGGTATCGTTCACATGCGCTCTTGGATTTGCAAAATTCCAGATGTAACTTCTCGTTCTCAATAATTTCAATCTAAGAGAACAATTAATATTCTGTTGTATTTGGCACCCAATCATTAAGGCCAGTTGTTCCCAAACTTTATTCGCCACGAGTCGGAAAGATGTTCGCGGGCCGGAAGAGTGTAGTGCCCAAAAGTGCGCGACGGTTTAGCCATAAATTTTTTTTGAAACATGTTTGTTTGGCTATTAATGGCGCCTTATTTTCTAATTCTTCAGACCTGGAATATTTCGTTGATAAAGAAGACGAATCGCTGAAGTTTGATTCTTTACAGTACAGAAATATGAACGCAACCATTTATCTAATACAACCCCATTTTCAGAATCTAGTTTCTGTTTGTTATTAGACATATCTAAACTTTTTTATATGGTTGATAACTAAAATATTGATGGCTATACCAGTACATATAATTGAGTTATCGGTACAAAATTTTACGATAAACTCGTGCCGAAACTGTAATAATGATATAACAATTGGTTGTATCTAGATCGCAAAAAGGTAGAAACAAAATATGTGAAACACCATTCCACTTGAGCTCGTCGGGCCATTTTAAATCGATACGCGGACCGGATTTGGCCCGCGGTTTGGAAACCCCTCATTTAGACATAAATCTAATATCCAGCTGTGGTCCATCTATCAGGAAACAAACTGTCACCATGGCAAACCTAAACTAAAACGTTCAGCTTCATTCACACCCCATATATATACCACTCCACCACCTCACCCATGATGTAAACTTGGAGGCGCTTCAGAAGTGTGTGAACCAATATGGAGGCAACTATCTTTGTTCTCCTACTTTACATCAAGTTGGGCAAAGGGACTGAAACCTATGGACATGTGGTAGATTCACTGCTAACACAGACATTCCCCGAAATCGTAATAGAACTAAAGTAAGAAAAATCGGAATAGAAATAGGCCTAATCTGGTACACACACTACGGAAGTAAAAACTTGGGTCACGTAATTCCAAATTTTTTTTTAAACACATAATAGTTTCCTGGGGATTATTCAGTCGTAGAAATTCAATGATATCTTTGCGTGGAATCCAGCAGATTTTGAAATTATCTATATTTTTCCGAACAACAAAAACAAATAGTTTGCCTCAAAATCGTACTGCATGACAATGAGTAAAGTTTGGCCTTCTCTGCCGACCCAGGTATGTTACTGAAGATAAGAAAGATGATTACGAATATGAACTACTTGGCGAATATGATGTTAAGACTATGTTATATGATGAATTCTATTAATATAGGAAATTTTCGTTTCACCTTTTCAATTTTGCTGAACCGTATTCCAGAACTTGCGAAGCGCTCACTAATTCGTTTATAATGTACAAAATCTTTGCGTGGGTTGATTTCTTCTATAAAGTAAAACGGATTCGCCGGAGCTTCTATATTTGAAAAAAAAAACATTGTCATTATTTCAGCACCCATTCTAACATATTATGTGTGGTTTCAACCCCAGGGCACACTTACAATAAATATATACAAAGTGCTCTAAATACCGTATTTTAGGACTTTAAGAATAAGGTGCACGGTAATACAACGTCGCATTGTCAATGAATTACTTAATAAATTGAGGGTTTTGTTCATATATGACAGGGTGGCCAACCTGCTCCAACTGTGATCGACCTGAATCTTCAAAATAGCTCGCAATCGACTGATCGGTACCGAACAGACAACTGCACACACGCATACAAAAATTTACGATATACGACGCGCACTGTGAATCAATTGCTCAGATTGTAGGTTTGTTCATACAAAGGGCGCAACTGCTTTTTCAAGCATTACCGGTGCTGGTTTTGAATGTCTGAAATGAAGCACTGCACCACAATGAAGCACACAAGTATCGGATTGTAAGAAGCGCGATCGATTAAAAAAAAAGATTGAAAAGTGCGCCTCGTGGTACAACAAAATGTAATAGTAAAATGTTCAAGGTAATCTCTACGGTCTGTTACTGTATGTTCAGTGAAATATAGAAGTGACAAACCTGCGACATCTATAAAGTTGACTCTTGGAACAGGAGCTGCAACTGAAAATACAATTTTGATATAGTTGAAACATTTTTGTAAGCTTGATTGGGTACTTTGGAATACCTGATCATTTCAGAATCGAATGTTTTCAACGAATGTTTTCAAAAACGCATAAATTTTTGAAGAATAGCCTACTGCTATTCCAATATATTTTCATACTGACTTCTATTTTTTTGAAGATTGAAAACTATATTAAACTAAATTAAAAGTTTGTTTTGCAGGCCTCACTTTTTTCTTGTGGGTCGCATTTGGACCGTCGGCCACAGGTCGCACACCCGAGCTAGGGACATATACGGAACTGAAAAATGTATCTTTATACCTGGTACCACCGTTGAGCGTTGCTTCCTGCAGCATATTATATTGAGAAAGTTTCTGCATCCCAAGTCTAAAAGGAAACAACATAACTTATTATAATATGATATCTTACATGTGCCAGGGCAATAGTTGCGAATAATAGAATATTAAACATACTAGACAAATATTGATATCATTAAACCTTAAATTTGAAAAAAAAAATAATTATTGTATCCCATTCGATTGAACACAAACTGGACTCATAGGTCGTTTTGTTCATTTTTTTGGGCACGAATTTACCTTTTCTTCAACTACTGGACCAATTACTTCAAAATTTTCTGTGGTCTCTTTTTGTTGTTGAGAAATCAGTTTTCTCTTTAACTTTTTGACCGATTGGTATGAAATTTTCAGTGGTTTGTTATTGTGGCTGTTACATTCATTTATTTCAAAAATTTCACAATTTCACGTTTCTTATGATGATATCATCAGAAAATTGCGCACCGTGTGGTGAACTCAGTCAAACAAATTGGTTGGGAAAAGTTGAAACTTTTTCAATAAAGAAAATTACTAGCCCTGTAAAATATTGGTCCTTCTTCTTGATTTGTTTTCTTGTTTGAACATAGAGTTTGTTCAAAAAAGTCACACTGTTTTTGGGCATGATAGAGGTAAGTATACGCTTTTCCCGGAATCGAAGTGTTCAAAACATTGATTCAACTTAAGAAATTTATAGATGCGAATATTATTGTTTGACAATTTTTTGCATCGTTTTGAAACAATTATGGTTGTATTTGATCGCAGGCGGTTTTGGTTTTATAAAAGATATCTCAGATAGAATACAAAGAGTTTTGACGCATAAGTCATAAGCAAATTTTTTCTGATGCACATTTGTAGCATTCTGATTTAATTGCCAATCCTACTAAAACATTTTCACAAATATGATATCCAATATATAATTTATAGTACTTACATTTCTTAATAAATATTGCTGCCATAATAATCAGGAAAACGAACGTGAGAGGAACAAAAATTATTGTATCGGCAGCTGCAGCACGCCGTGGAAGAAACGTAATAAACCAGATAAAAGACCAAAAAGAGCCTGAAAATTGTAACACCTTTTATCCTACACATTTTATATCATAAATGCCTTACAATTATCGATTTCAAACTTTATTAATCTACATCACTGATTTTAACCTCGTTTCCGCGGCAATCTAAGGCTCCGCTAGAACAGCACGGATCCGCAAGCTGCCATTCAATTACAAGAAACTCTACTATTACTATATTATTTTAATATAGTCAAATACTTATTAGATTCATCAATATTATTATTAAACTTGCTGTTCTTTCCTATTAATAGATTATGCAATCCAGACTACAAAAAGCAAGTGAACTATATTGCACAGCTGTTTCTTGAGCTTCAGGAATGTTTCAATGTTCAATCAAGATTCCGCCACACCAAAAATGGGAACAAATACACGGAATGGGAACACAATGGGTACACATACTACGTTCCGGTGTCCGCCATCTTGTTCACATACTACGAGAGTACCCAAAAATGCTGAAATCCTCTGCTCTATGAGCACAGAAATATCTCATTTACATGAGAACAGCGCGTCAGCGATTGGTTGTCAATTAATTATAGCTTCGGTACTTTTTATATTTGAGAGCTCGAAGCTTCGATCGGACTATTGAACTCTAATTTCCAAACTTATATTTAATCATTTCGCACCTTTGATATAAAAGAAATTTATTGTTTTGGTTTTTAAGCATGCATACCAAATAATTCATCAGTTATTTCAACATAAACTTGTAAAGAACACCTCTTTCTAAGATACTTACTTGATTTACTGATGTTCATTTCACTTGGTCTTTATATCGTTGTGTTGATCAACGTTGGTACTGCATTAGCTGCGATACCCGCAGCAAAAATCGGTGATTAGTCCAGATCAACCTTACAAATAACTCCACTAACGAATCGTCAGCACAAAGTTGGCTAAAACTAGGGAAGGGATCGTTCGATCGTAAGTCCTCGCCACTATTACAAAAAATGTGCAATTTGAGAAAAATACCCTCAATATAAAATAACACCCTACTTATTATCCAGTTGTGTTTAGAGTTAGAAACGATTTGAAAATCTGAGCAGTTTGCATTTATAACCCTAACTAGATAATCACTAATTTTCCTATTTTAAGCGTTGGCGGAGGCTTTGTACAAAATATTCGAGAGAACTCAAAAGTGACCAAACTTCGGGTTTGATCCGCGATACTTCTATTTTTGTTTTGCCTTCCATATTAGTTTTTAGGTTCATATGTTTGTTTTCGGCATGCTATTAAATTTGTTGTGTCACCGACGACTACTTACGCTACCAGCCGATTGTTAAGAGACTTTCAAATCATTTTTTAGGGCGAACAAAGTAAATCCAATCACGCGCATCTTACCGCTGGTCAAACATTTTTACAACGGTTTAATGGGACTATATTAATTTAAATAAACATTCCATAGCTCTTATAGGAAAGGCAAATACGCTTAAAAGTATCATACGAGAATCAATAAAAATATCTTTATTTGAAAACTTGTTTTGTTACTATCCTGAGTAAATTTCAATTTGCGAGTTTTCTAGTAAGACCCGATAAACTCGTAAGACTAGATAGCTTGCTTGCGTAAAGATTTACCTATCAAATATTACACTCAAATCCTGTGAAAGAGTCAAAGTATCACAATGGTTATTTTGAATTACCTTTTGACGTTTTTTTGAACATGACGTAATATTTGTATATTCAAAAATATTTTACTATTAAAGGGATTTATGTTGGAATCTTGATTAAAATTCCTGGGCTGGGTCAGAATCACATTCCTGAACAACTCGCGCGGTTGGAATTTCACATTCATTCGAGAAGTGACGAAATATCCAATTGAAACATAAGAGATTAAAAGAGCATAAGAGAATGCTAATTTTTGAACAAATTGTGTGTGTGGTAGGATAGAATAAAGAAAATGACATTAGATTTTTCTTTAATTTCAGGAGCATTATATGGAAACGGAATCTACTTTGCTACGGACTTGCACGGGAAGTTGTGGAAAATGTTTCTGGCCGGAGTTGTCACAGGAAGATACGCGATTGGGAAAAGAGGAATGACACATACACCTCTACACCCGAAAGGCCGCTCGTATGACAGTGCTGTAGATAGTTTGACAAACCCTAAAATATTTGTTGTTTTTTCTGGATTCTTGCGCTTATCCAAAATATCTTATCACCTACAGTCCTACACAACTGATGGGACCTTCTAAAAGGTTTTATCGATAGCCTACAGCGGTAAAGTCTTCACATTTTGATCTTCTGAAATTTGATTTGTTCCACTTTTCAACAACGAAATCACTATAAATGCAGAGTATCGAACATAATTTCGAATAATCTTAAATAGTTTCTCTATGGACCTCCCCCCGATCTTTGATCCCCGAAAAATTCTTCCTATACATTACCATTGCAAAATTTTTGGGGCGTATTTTAAGAGTGGTTTCGCAAGTTTGCGCCTGTGAAATGGGGTATTTGTTTCAAACTATCATTATGTTTCATCGCATACAACAATCTGTTTTTAAAGGTACCGGTAAAGAATTTTAGCCTAGTCTATCACAGCTATTTCTACACTATTTTTTATTACTGCAATTAAATTAATAAAACTCTTGAGAAGACAGAGTGATCATTGAATTATCTAATTTATATTCAAGTTACCGGTAATGTTTGAGACCACGCTTGAAAATCTGTCTGAGTGAGAAAAGTGTCTGAGCGAATGAAAAAGGAAGCATGTTACGTCACTTTTTACATCTTGCTGATTAGCCAATGTCACGAAGTAAATAAGGAAGTCGATGCAAGGGGAAAGTTCCATTCCCACGTTCAAGCAACCCTTCATCAACTCTGTATCTTCGTATTGTGATGTCATATAATAACACTCGAAACAGGCAAATAGATGTTGCCAGTTTTTATCATGCAAATCGAGAGATTGTGTAAATACAGTTTGTGCCTAACTAATGCTCAATGTTTCACTTTGTATAAATTCAAAAATAATTTATTAAGCGTTACTAAAAAATATTATATTTTGCAATAAAATAAAGAAATGGGCAAAATGTCAAGATTAAATTGGTAAATCTTCTGGCATAGTCTCCCCCAACTGCGGACAGTTGCATAGGCGAAGCAGAAGCGGCTGCTTTTAGAAGCAAGAGGTGTCTGAGTAAAATTGTTTGGTTACGTTGAAATTAGTTTATTGGTCAAGTTTATTAAAGAAGGCTGATTTGGAAAATTGAAAAATATCACACTCTAAGCCAACTTATAGGGAGCAGTTGGTGGATGACATTACGAACAAACAGCTGATTTGAAACTTGATGCTCGCTAGCAGGCCATTGTTATATAACGGTATACATATAAAATCTCAGTTAGGTGGTTAGAGCAGGCAAACCAAATGGAATTAGCGCCAATGGTGCATATCGGATCATATGTACACACTAAAACACTTATACAAAGTCCTTTTTAGAGCGCTCTAGAAGTGTGTGTACCAATATGAAGGTAACTAATTTTGTTCGCCCAATTTACATCAAGTTGTGTAAAGGGACTAAAACCTATAGGCATAGGGTATATTCACTCGGCTAACACAGACAGTCCCCGAACTCGTAATAGAACTAAAATAAGGAAAATCGGAATAAAATTATGGCCTAACCATAACATGGTACACACACTACGGGAGTACCCATTTAGTGCAGGAAACCATTTTAAATTTTATTCAATTCGTTTATTACTCCAGACCGCTGCGGTCCATATACAAAAAAATATAAGCAATTAAGCAACATGTTAAATAAACGGAAACATTGGTACCTGTCTGGGATCATTTGTACAAAGCCCCTCCATTGTTTCGAGAATTCAAGTTAAAGTTATACTAAAACGAGCGGGGTGTTTGTCTCAAATTTCATACTTTTGCTTTAGTGGCGAGGCTTTGTACAAAATATTCCAAGTCTGTGAGAATGAGATTCAGCCGTCATCCGTTGATTCCTGGTGCCGGTAGCGTCGGATTCGCTCCTTCAAATGCACTTTAAACACTTTTTTGGTTTATAAATACTAATCTCTGTTTACTGGCATATGACAAAAAAAGCTGCGGTCCTACTTGAGTAACCAGGAGATCGTTAAAACCATTTGCGACTTTGCCCTCGAATGAGTTTTGAACTAAAACAGAGCTCGGCGAGCAATGAACATCCATGCTCAATGCAAGTCTGCCAGGCAAGGTTGAGAACCCCCCAATTAAAGCAAAATGAGACGCGAACGACCACTGGGACATTATATATAATATGGCCTTGTTTCTTTTGCAATGGGTGGCTTTCAAACCTTATAGCAATTATCGGCAGGCAGCTTATAAATAGGTATGTCTTGGCATTCGCCTGATCTTTCCACCCTAATCCTTGTGTATTTGTTTGAAGACGAGTGCCCGAGACTTGACTGTAACTGTAAAAGTAACTTGACTGTAAAATATAAGGTAATACTCTTTGAGCAATACCTAATGTTGCACATTTTCTCTTTCAGTTAGTACTCTGGTACTAGACATTTTCGTCTAAAATTTCTAATGGGCTCAGACCACAACGGAAAATATACGGCCTGTTTACAGAGTAAAGGAATTTCTTCGCAAGCATGGCGATTCAGCGGAAAGTCAACATATTCGAAATCGTTCAGCTTGCTCTATCCATTTTTATGATGATATTGACTATGGTTATCTTGATAGAACTCCGATTAATGACGAGAAGGCTGGGTTACGGAAACATATACCGTTTCAAACACTATGGACCCTTAGAATTCCTTGTATTCAACACTGTATTTTCTGTGGCCACTCTTATTCTCAAATTCATTTGCGGTCAGACGGGCTGTGGCTGCCAATTCTTGTCTAAACTCTCGTCTCAATCAGGTTTTGAGTTTATTTATTTTCTGTTTTTCTCCATTGGCCTCCTCGTTACCATGTCTATTTCGGCCTGGTTTGCTGCTAATATTAAATGGATGTGCGCTATCGTGGGCCAATGTATTTTGTTCGATATATCTATCGCTATTGTTGGTCTCAATCTTCTGGGAAGCATCACTTCAGTGGGGTATTGCGCAGTTCTTTACCGTAAAATGGGATCCGAAAGTACATGGTTTAGCATCAAAGCATGAAGTATAAACTGTAAAACCTTGACCAGATGTACAGCAAAAATTCATGTAAAAAATTCCATGGCGTTTTAAACTTCTTCCAAAGTCATTCTGTATGTAGTTCGTATACTTAATTCCGTATAGTGGGATCAAATAAGTAAACTATTTCGCGCGCACGTATTTGATACAGTGGTGTGAAATTATTCATTGTAACGCCTGATAAACAGGTTGTTATTGAACACGACAACTAGGTTTCCATTGATCGTGTGCTATAGGCTATAGTAGTTTGATGTTTAAATTAATCATTTTGTTCTAGTCTTGTTTTTTCGTTCGTTCAACTATTGTCTATTTCTGTTAATTATTGAGCTTTTTATGTGTTGAATTGTGAGCAAACATAAAGTTTAATCCAAATTATATGATTGCCTTTTTCTACTTCGAAAATCATAAGGTCAGTTCGATGGTAGTGTGTCGTATTTGAGATCACCACTACGGCTGGGCAAATATTTGAATAGCGAATCGAATATTAAATTATTCGTGCTAATGATTTGGTTTCTGCGAGACTAACTACTTATCCTTCTTCTATGCTTTTGTGTCGGTGGATCTGTATGCATATAGTGCAAGGATGCTGTAGCAAGAGTAAAGACAACTATCCTAAGTGATTCAAGAGTCTTGCTGCACACTAACACAAATATATTCGAATGGCATTTTACTATTCGAATATCGGGTACCACGTAACCTGCTTCGCTTTGACACGGAACTAAATCGATCGTGTATTGCGCGAGAATTCACCTAGACCGCTCGCTAACAGACAAGAGCGACAAAGTTGAAAAATCGTTCTTTTTGCGTTGTGGTGCTGTTTTTTTTTGCCCTTCAATCGGTTGTTTTAATTCCCTATTTCGCAAAAAAAAAAACATACCGACACCATTCTCAAATTTAGAAGCGTTAAATCAGGTAGGGCATTATAAATAAATATCCTAGTTTTTAAACTTCGTATTTACTTACTGAATTATGCTCAATTTTATTTTCGGAATTAGCAAAATCAGCACTTCACTTAGTGATTCTGATTATGTCATGCCTTGATGATTACTGCCCAAATGCTTCATAATTTAACAATTGTAATCGTTTTCGATGATAATAGACGCAACAATTAGTGAACGAGCCAGTGAGCATTGTTACAACGAAATTCACGATCGATTTTACGTTCTACTTACTCTTGGCTCAACGGCCATGCATGGTCGAGTGAAATGTTTACATATTTGAAACATTACTTGGTCAACGATGGAAGGGATCACTAAAAAGCTAATACAAAGTGCTTCAAAGGTAATGGGACATGACAGTTCTTATCTGGTTACATCTTACAGACTGTTTTTCATACAAGTAACTCATACCAGCTTTTGGAAAAACTTTGACGGGTCATTTTTTTAAATGCATGCTCTTTATATAACTCGAGTTTTCTAACGACCTAAAATCGCCTTTTTCACATTTTAACATTTATTCTTAATCAATTTTATGTTCAGGTCATGCAAGAAATGGGTAATGGCATGTCACCAAGCATGCGAAGTTTGAAATCTGTTAAATTTATTTCAAATACCTAATCTGGTTTGACGTTTCTGAATTCACGTTTTTTTGTAAAATATAGAATTGGAACGATACGTTAAGTGCAAAGATAAGTATATAACACTATAACGCAAAAACGACTTTTCGAATTTGTGTTTTTTCTGATAGCTGGCGCCGTGGGGATATGTCGCACAGTTCACGATTGAGTTGAAGACGCGCGAGTTCGGTGTCCAAGCTAAGCGGCGCAAGTCACGTGGGACCGAATATTCGAATAGTAAAATGCCATTTGAATATTTCATTATTCGATTCGCTTTTCGAATATTTTGCCCAGCCTAGTTGTTACATGTGTTGTTGTTACGATAGGATAGGATTTACATATTTATCCCGGGGCAGAGGAAAGCCGATAAGACGGCTTATCTATATGGCGAACCACGGCCTCTCGTCCGGTTACCATTCCAAGTCGGGTATGGGATTAGTTATATTATTTGTTTTCGAAGCATGGACTTGGTGGTGGAGGAAGCCGTAACCGACCAGCGGTTACGTGAACCACCCAACGACGGCGAGGAGTCCAGCAATCCTCTCGCACATAACCATCCCTGCATAGGATTGGAACCTGCGAACCCACGCAGAGTAATTAGAGGTGCGGTGGCGAGCGTATTCCTAACGCCTTAGCCCGTTGAGCCACACCGCCGCGCAATTTAACTTGGTATTCTAAATACGTGCTTAAGTTTTGTTTCTATTTTAACTTGCGTTGTTTGTGTGCGGCTCTTCACAAATTTGAGGTTTGAAATTTTGCTCTAGGACTAAAAAATTTTGATAACCACTGCTCTATACGGTCTGACGGTGGGCTATTAGCGGTAATCATTGAGGGTTTGAAAAATACGGTATGGTATCGTGTGGAAGCTGAATGGGTGGCAGCTCCTACAGGCAGAGGTGGTGACTCTTTAATGGGCCAGGGCCACGGTCGATGTTGAAAGGGTTGTGGCCACGCATGCGGCATGGGCCATAGAAAAAACACCACTTTCACTCGCACCTCAGCCAGACACAATATCCGGCGCATGTTCACTAAACGTCGTAAGTACTTCTAGTTGGCGTGGCACAAACTTTTTGAATATGTTATTCCTAACCTCCACCTGACTACGTCATCCAAAAATTACGTCACTACGACGTCACAAACACGTCATAGAGTTTGCCAAAGAAAAGCTACGATCACCCGAAATGGCATATCTGCCGACGATAACGAACTTGCTAACGCCACGATCTACCTCATGTCGGGATCGTTGCGAGAAAACGAGAGAAAAAGCTTGATTGATTTCGGGTGATCGTCTGCGCGTTTTGGACAACAACTTTGACGGGCCTAATTTCGTCACTGTGGCGTGGTAGTGGCGTAATTTTTGAATGCTGCAGTCAGGCGGGGGTTAGAAATGAAATATGCGAAAATAGTCATGCCACGCCAACTAAAAGTACTTGACGGCGTTTAGTGAACTACACTCCAATGTCTTCGACGTCTTAGTGACGTAATGGAGCCCTTCAAACGATACGAACTGCAATCCAAGACGCGCAGACGAGCACCCGAAATCGAACAGCTATTTCTCTCGTTTTCTTGTCGCTACGATCCCGATAGGAGAGAGATCGATGACGTTAGTCAGTTATTTATCGTTGGCGCCGATGCCATTTCGGGCGATCGTAGGTATATTTGGCAAGCTCTATAAAGGGATTATGATGTCGTAGTGACGTAATTTTTGGATGGCGTAGTCAGATAGGGATTAGGATTGACATATCAAAGAATTGTTATTCTACGCCTACTAGAAGAACGTTAGGTACGAACTACTCGAGACCCCATATCTGAATATGGTATCAACTCTAAGATAAGGATAAGATTTACTTATTTCATCATTTACTCCATTTAAAATTAGAGATGGAAACAAAAATATTGAATTCTGGAGATTTTAACATTGGTTTATTTTTTTTCACATAATGTCAGAATGTATGATTACAATCTATACGGTACCTTACCGGGCAGCCGGGGGTGGTGGGCAAGGTTTTTGGACCAGGGGCCAAAAATTTTGACCATGTAGACTGGCGGGCCATGTAAGTAGGACATAAAAAATGACATTTTATTAACAATATTTACAGTGTTACAAAAGCCAAAGTGGAAAACAATAAGCCTTGTGCCAAAACTAAATTTAATCGCAATCTCAACAAATCATCACAATTTGGTTTTAGTTTGGTTGTGGCAGCCAGGCGGGTCATATTGCTGTATTGGATTACCCAATTAATAAAGTAGCAAAATGAAATCAGTAAATTTCCATTTGTTTTTCGATTCTAGAACTTGATTAGTGCAATTTGTTTCGGACTAGTCTGCTGACTCTTCATTATAGTACGTCCTGCTTCATTCTCTGAATTCGACTCTATTTCCATGTACATACATCTATTATATTTTGACAATATTCTTGTAGTTGAGTTTATCCTTCAATTTTAAAATGTTTAAGCTTTCAGCATTGAATGAGAGAAAAAGTGAGGATGTAACTGAAGTTGAAAAACCTTTAAAAGACACAAGAGAAGCCCAGGAAGCTCAAGCTTTTAAACTTTATAATGAAGCATTGTGCTTACAACAAAATAATCAACACGATGAAGCTGTGAGCGTTTATGAAAAACTTTTGCAAACTCCGCTTATTATTGAGTCAGCAACAACGCTTGTAAATGAAGATAAAGAAGCGATAGAACATCCTCTCAAAGATCCTGGACTTATTTTGAAATATTCAACTCATAAAAATGTTGCTAACATTTGTGCAGGCAAGGGTGATACAAACCGAGCGATGGAAAATTATTTACAAGCTGTAATGCTCGATACTTCCGATGTAACGCTCTGGTATAAAATTGGAGTTCTTGCTGCAAAATTAAGTAATCTTCATTTATCACGACGAGCGTTAACTCAAGGTTTACAATGTAATCCAAATCATTGGCCGTGTCTTGATAGTGTGATAACTGTGTGCTATGCTATTCTTGATTATGAAAACTGCCTCATGTGGATTTCAAAAGCATTGAAAAAAGATCCATGTTACAAAAAAGGAATTTATTTTCGCAGAAAAATGATAAGCGAGTGCCCACATTTGAAAAGAGATTTTGACCACCTGTTTCAGGATTGTGGACACCAGGTTTTTGAGAATAAAATTTCAGAATCTGATGCAAAAGGTTTACTTTCTGAAGCCTTAACATTGAGGGAAAACAATCGCAAACTTTGTATTCGCCCACCACCGCCCATTGTTCCACTTTCACTACCTTTAAAGTCAGCATCTTGGTTGAATTTAGGGAAAAGTCTGATTGCAACTTACAATTACATAGAAAGCCAAGATGAACCGATAACACTATCATGCAAAATTGACTTGAATGTTTTTAAAAATAATAAGGCACACGAAGAAAACGGTATTGACGATAAGTCAAAAGATTCGAAATCGAAAGTAGCATCAAAATCTGTAGATACTACATTATCTAGTGATCTCCAAAATTCTGTTTCTGTAACAGCAATTAATAATTCCAAACCAAATGATGAAGTGAGCAAAACTGAACGCTTTGACGTTCAGTCAGTAGCTGCAACTGATCTGACATCTTCATGCACCAATTTTGCACCGGATTCGGACACTCAAAATAGTGAGATTACTCAAAGCAGTACAACATTAACCAGCTATGTCGGTAACTCTCAAAAGAAATCTACAAAGAGAAAAAGAGCACAAGACAAATTCACTGATCAAGAACGACAAAGTAAACGCAGATCTTCTCGAATGAAAAAATCAGCATTCAGTAAGTCTGAGAGTGAGTGTGAAAATTCTATTGAGCTGGATTTTCGCCAGAGTTTGTTACATTTGCTACCAAAAAGTTTATTACCCCCCAAAACACAGAATTTATCTATTGACTTGGATAGTGACACAAATAGCCAAGATTCAACATTTATGACGGAGAATAATAATAGTGGTATTACTACAGCTACAAATACAAAACTTAATGAAAGCCCACCTAATGCTCAGACTCAGACATTCAGTACCGATATAAATGTTTCAGTCAAAAATAATTTGCGAACCCAATCAAATGAAGCGACTCCTGAATGTATGGAGGTAAAAGAATCCAATATTCAAGCTCCAATGGAGTCTGGTCCAGCATTTCAAAATGACCAAATATCTGAAAATGTTGCTCAATTGAAAAACTTGGACAAACTTTCATCGAAAGCTGATGATAAGCTTGAAATAGATAATAATACGGAAAAAAAACAATTTGAATGTAAAGCTGAAATGAATATAAATATGGATTTGGGCCAGAAGTTGGATTCCAGTGATGCGGCAGTAAATAAGGTTAAATTGTTTATTGATAAATATAATGAAACAAACTATGGAATCCTCCATATTATGCATGAATATTGTAAGTGTGTTGCAAGAACAACACATATGCAATGGGAGAATGGTCTTGCTGATGTATTTTTATCTGTATATGAGATTGTCCAACCTACAATTCACATGGAATCATTTGACAATATGGAAATAAACATCCAGGAGAAGATATTGTATTCTTACAACATGATCACACATTTGGAATGTGTACTGGACAAAGCCTATAAAAAGAACTCTGTTGATTTCAATTTTATTCCTTCTAGTTTGGAATATGGAGATATGAGATTTATTATTGATGCATCATATCGTCCACAAGTATTGGAAGAAGATTCTATGCTTAAGCAATATTGTTACAAATATTTTGTGTTAAGATACCATTGGGTTAGGGCTACTTATTTTTTTCTGATGGGATATAAAGATAGCACTTCTCGTGAGTTAACAATGTGTTCAAAAATGTGCATCGCGGACACAGAAGTAACTCTTCATCATTTGAAACATCATAACAAGATAAATTCCTCTTTAATTCGACAGAGACTAGACTCTCTGAAAAGATTCCAAGTTTTGGAAAAAGTTGAACAATTGCATACTATGAAGAAATATGATGAAATAGTAAAAATAATCTTGCCCAAATTAGATGAGCTGGATCTAAATTTTGATGAAACAAAAATGCAAGAAGGTCGCGATAATGATGATATGATTGACAGACCTAAACTTCTGAAATATCTTATTGATTCTGCTCTTGCTCTCAATGATTCAAAGACATCAGGTAAAAGTTTTATTTTCGTATTATCGGAGGCGACGGAATCAATATCTGACTCTGAAAAGTCCGGTAAAGATTGGACAAAAAATAAACGTACATCTCTCTGGAAAGAGTGGTATTCTTTGATTATTCTATGCTGTGGTCATTTTAATGATTTGTTCCAGAAAGGAATTGGTAGTAAAGTACTGAATGAAATGGATAAAAATCTTATTGCAGAATTGTCCAAGAGTCTTTTATCAGTTGTGCATTTTGGTATGTTGGAACTCCTCGCTAAGCAAAGTTCATTTCTTCAATCATCATTGCTTGGATCTTCAAAAAGCCAAGCTTCATCGAAAAATTTTGCACCTAAGGATTCACTCATGCCATGGATACTTCTGTTTCATGTTTTGAGATTCGAGGAACAAAAACAATTAATGCCTGCAAGTTCCGATGATTTTGAGGATATTACCGGTTCTTATAAACTTTTAATGACTGCTCACGGCTGGCTTGGTGATAAATCTTTATGCTGTGCAGATGGTGGAGTATTTTTGCGTTTTCTACTCAAAAATTTCTTAAAGATTTTAAAAAACTTGAAAGAAAAGGAAACTGTAGTTGACATATTAGGACCGATGGAGTTATCCAACGATTCGAAAAGATCTCTCATGCCATCTGCTGACCACAAACAAACTATAAAATTCGAAATTGAGCAGTGCTTTTTCTGCCTTTATGGCTTCCCAAACAAAATATTAAAGTCAAGTATGCTTATCGACCACGCTTCTCAGCAAAGTGTTTTAACATGGGCCGGAGCAGTGGAAATGTTAGAGTACTTTCGCCCAGCAGTGTTGCCAGGTTTTGACAGTTATAAAGCGAATACAATGCTTGGTGAAACCGCTTCTCTGGTCATGAGAATCATCAAACTAATACCTCAAAAATTAAGTAACAAAGTTGACAATTCTTTAAAAATTTTGGAAGACAGTATCGGAAAAATTTGTGATTTGAAAAATCTTAAAATTCCCGATATTGAGAGTGTTGATTTGGAAGCAATTAAAGATATCTATTATCTACTTGCTGATTATTATTTTAAAAACAAAGAAATGACCCAAGCTGCTAGATATTATCAGTTGGATTTGTGTTTGAACGCAGAAAGGTTTGATTCTTGGGCAGGTTTGGCATTGGCAAAATCTAGTATAATAGATGAAAAATTACGATTGTGCGTGGCAAAGTCTTCTACAAATGAATTGGCAATCATTGAACTGTCTAAGTTTCCATTAATGTGCTATGAAAAAGCAATGTCAATTGAAAAATCAAGTACAACTCTTTGGATTGAGTACGGATCGCTCGCATATTGGATTCATTCATTTTGCTCCAGGCAAATAAGAAGAAAATCGAATATATCTGATGATTCTGTTTCTAGTTTGACTTTTGAACGTAATTCTATGTTGGATTTAGCACAGCGTTGTTTCGAGCATGCACTCAAATGCGATGCTGAGGACATAAATAACGAAGAATGGCTGATACAATATATGCTTGGGAAAGTAGCAGAAAAAAAACAGGAGTCAATACAAAATTATTTATTAAAATACAGCAAGGCAGCTGGATTATTACATAGAAAACATGCAAAATATCCAAAAAAGATTCAATTCAAATCTTACCAGAGTGATTATGCTATAGAAGCTCTTGAGATGCATTATCGCCTACACACAAGTATTTTAAAACTTGTCCAGCGTGAAATAAATGTGTTAGATGGGTTTGAACAGAAAAAAGAAATGTTGAAAGAATCTGATTATGACCTTTTTGATGATTTATTAGAAGAATCATCTGTTAGTCAGTTCGTAAGACGAGATGTGTTGCCTTACAGTCAACTTGAGACTGATAATCAGATGAGAAAACATGTTCCTCCTGCTAAACTAGTAACACAGACACCACAAATTCAATCATCTTCTCTGACTATGGGATCTTTAGTTCCTGATGCTATTGCTACTGCTCTTTCATTCCAGCTTTCAGCAGATTCCAGCCAATCAATTCCTAGTGCGATTGATGAACTCTCTATGGATATAGACATTTCACCTGATTCTAATTCATTACCATCACCAACTATTTCACCTACAAATGTCAAAGACAATGATGGAAATGGAAAGTCTGAAGCGGCACAATTGAAGAAAACTACTCAAGAAAATGCATTCACAAATGAAGCAAGGATGATACGTGCTCTTGTTGTGATGGCAGGCTGTGTTTCAGGTTTACATATTTGTTTGGGACGTTTGCCACAACATTACAAGTCCTTGCATAGATTAGCATATCTTTTCATGCATTGTAGCAAAGATCGTCGACATGCTAATTGGTCTCGAGATATACTTCTGGGTTCCGAAACGCCATGGCAGCAGTTGGCGTACATGCCCTCACAAGGACTTCTTTCTGAAAGAAATAAAACTAATCTCTTCAACGGAGTGTGGAAAATTCCTGTAGATGAGATTGACCGCCCAGGCAGCTTTGGATCGCATTTATACAGGTGCGTTCTACTTCTTCTAAATGTATTTCTAGAACTTGGTGACCACAATAAACTATTCTACATGCATAATATGTTAAATCGTAACCCTGACCAGGGTAGAAAGTATTTACGAGATGCTGACAGGATCTGTGCGTCACAGAAAGCTCTAACATTTAGCATAAAAGCATTACAGAAAAAAGTGCTTTCTAATGTTCCCACTACACCTAAATCAGCGTCACAGGAAGACAAAAATAGGTTATTGCAAAACGTTATTAGCAGCTCACATTTCAAAAGCTCGGAAGCATTGAGTCACCTTTTGGACGCGAGCAAATTATATTTGCAAAAACAGAGAATAGGTTCTCCCTATGAGTCATCTTCTAAACTTTACGATGTTACAGAACCACATAAAGAACTGCTGATCACTGCTTTCCAAAAATATACATTAGCATGCCCTCAGGCCATTGCATTGTTTCCCAACGTTGATGTTCTGTCTACTAGTGCAGGTCTTGAAAGGATTGTTAAATTTTGTCAGCAGTATGCAGGTATGCCTAAGGTAGCTACTGGTGGAAATACAAGCATGCCAACTCCTACTAAATCAGATTCTAAGTTCACATCTGCTACCACAAAGAAAGTCGAAAAAATTGGGGATCAAGCTTGCAATGATAATACAGACAAAAATATCCAGAGCAAAGATACTTCTAGCGAAGACCAGACTACTGAAATGGGGATAAAAGATGTCACTTTTGATAGAAAAAAGCTTGATAAAAGCAATGACAAATCACAGGTTTTTCAAGAGATTCCTACAGGAACAGCTCTCAAAATTTTGAGTAAAAGTGGTTATTCTTCTGATTCTCAAGCAATCGTTAGCAATGAAACTGAGTCTTGCGCTATTGGTAATTTGAAGGACTTAGATTCAACAGAAGAACGTACAAAATTTAATAGTGATGTACGTGAAATTGAGAAGACCTCTTTAGGTTTCTCAGTGAGTAATAAAGCAGCTGATGCATCGACATTGAAACAGTCTGCACCCCAGGAATCAATGCAATCTAGTGTCATAGACAATCCCAATCCTTTATCCTTAGAAACTGCCAATAAAGAGGAACAATATAGGACATATACAACTGTGACTACGATTATAGAGGGTGTTATAACTGCCAATAAAGAAAAACTGGGAGTAGTGGATGAAAAAACTTGTCCAAGTAAGCCTATGATATCTGGCAACATATTATCTGAAACAGAGCAGTCATACACACGTTTGCATGATAATCCGAATTCTGTTCAAGCAAGCAAACTGGATGTCACTTCTGTAATTGATGATACAAAAAGTGTTATTTCAAAAGAAGCGGAAAATAATACATCTACCAGTTCTTCTATATCTAGTCAGTCTGACACTTGTACAACTTCCAAAACTGTGACTAAATCCGGGGTAACTCTTGTTAAAAAGGGTTCGCAAGTTTATACAAAAATTATGCCATCTCGGCCATTCTCTGGGATTTCTCATTCACCACGAAGCGCATTTACTCCAGCAAAACATAGAATAACACCTGAACCTGGGAAATCTTCAATTTTAAAACGAAGTCCGCAAATGGATAGGCTTGCTGCCTTATCACATAGTAATCCCAAAGCACCACTTCTAAGATCAACCTCAATGCCTGTGTCAATAGAGGATGATAAAACTTCTCAAATACGACCACACAAGACTTTACTTCGAACTGGGTCAATATCTGATTACACGAAACAGAAATTAAAAAGTTCAATTTTGATGAGAACTTCAGCATCACTGGTGCGTAAACCAAGTATTACAGAGCACGAAATTGAACAAATTTTAACTGATCCAGAATCATCTCAATCTGAGGACGATGATGAAATTGAAAGGAACTTTAAACCACTTGGTTCTCCATCAACCTCTGCTTATACTTCAATAGATGTAATCAACAGACCGGTAGCAGTGACCCCCGTTTTGTCAACAAACAAGGACGTCCCAGTTTCAACTTCAACAATTACATGAGTCGTGGCTAGTTTTTGCGCTATCGAATCTGAATTTGATGTCACTCACCATGAAAGTCTTGACTACATGAAGAGAGAGAGAGAGATTTATTGTTCGTCAACCAGAAAAAACAAACTTTGTAACAATAATTAAAATGTACAACAACTTAAGAAAAGTTATTTTAGCTTGATAGTCTCATGGAAAGATGAAGAAAAATCATGTCTCAACAATGCAAATGGTATCATATCAGAACCTGAAAAGGCCCAAATTTAATACTTAACTACTTCGCTCGACATCCCACTCAAACATCCATACTTCGAGTACATCCTGTAAATGTCGTTAAATAAGGAACGCCCGATATTCTGTCCAGTTATGTCTACAGAATGCATGCATGTATAATTGTACATTCATAGGATTACAATATTACAGCTAAGGAGAGCAAAGTTAATTTTTTTTTTTTTTCGTATGGAATTGACCGAAGCCTATTTTTTTGTCCATTTTTGTATCATTAGCTATAAATGATGAATGTGCCATTTAATTATTCTCTATTTTGAATATAACCGATTCTGAATGTTTGATCAGCACTGGTATTCTTTATGTATCAATATACTGCCATTATTATGAGGTCATGTAAGCGTGTCATCAATTTTATTAAATACTGATTTTGCTTTGAATTGATGAAGTCATTTTATATATTTGTCCACTTCAGATGATCAGTACAATAATAATGTTTTTCAATTTGATTTCGAATATAAAACAAAGATATTTTAAAGTACTGAAATATGTATTTTCAGAGAAAAATTAATTTTTTCAGAAAACAGCAGTAGGTTTGTTAATCTAAAAAACAGTCCAAAAAAAAGAACTCAGTAGAGTATTGTTCAAGCAAGTAATCTTATTTTATTGTGCAGAGATTTACTGCCATTAATACTTATGTTTGTTTATATACCTTCATCCATAACATTTATAGGCTTAAAGCAATAAAGCCTGTAATGTTAATTGTAGCCCATATAATAGAGCAGTGTACAATGCAATCAAAATAATTTTTCTCTTCAAATTTTTGGTCGACTTTTGCTATATAACAGTAATGTGATTTTTAACTGAGAAACTAAACATTTATACACACCATATTCTGTGTATACTGTATTTATGTATTTGAAATTCATTATTGTAAATTGGTATTCACTGTTTAATTGTTCACCAATTACGTATATATGTGTCTCATACTGAACTGAGCAAATTTCGTACATCAACCCACCAAATAAGACACACATATGATCATGTGTTCAACATTTCTATCAATGTTATCAGAATGATAACTTTGGTTTTGGTGCAACCAACTGAAGTGGGTGCTATAGCATAGCTAAAGCATCAGACTTGATTATTCGGGCATCGCAGATTGCACCAGGGTTAAAAGCCCATGTGCACCCTAAAGTGTTGAGACTTAACTGTGCGGACATCTCTAGTTACACTTTGGTTCAAATCTCATGCTCACAACAATCTCACCCAGGGTGTACTACGTTGGGTAGGCAATGCTGAATCTTGAAGATTCCAGTTTTTCCAAAAATAATAACTTCTCACATATTGCTAGATATCAGTGGGGTCTTATGCAGGGCCATATACAGAGCAAAGTGTTTTATTAAAATTAAAAATATCTGAATGTTGGTTAAATTGCTGTCTTTTGCGGTTAGACATGCAAGACTAGTATCAGACAATTATGGTCTTTAAATGTAATTTCTTGATATATATTATAGCTTATTACTGCCATTATATTATTTTTCTGCTTTTTATATCTATGATAATGCTAGTTATGTTCCAACTATACATAGTTGATAACAGTCTTTGCTCCTATTCAAAAATCAGTCGGTTTACTGAATGCAAATTTTTATATCTCACATATGCTTTAGAAATGACTGCTCTTCAAATATTTCTTCTCAAACTGTTTTATGAAAACTTACTTCGATATGAAACTCCTTCTAAACTAAAAATTTTGCTCTTAGGCCACAAGAAAAATTGAACACGTTGGTTATGGTCAACATATCATTTTTTTCTATTGCTCTATTGTTTTCTAAAAGAAAATGCTGAGATAAGTTTTGATACAAATCTTTAAGTCAACAAACCCACCGAGTGGACATTTTCCAATTTTTGTTTCTACTGCTACCTTATACTGCTACATTTTTGCAATACCTTATTTATATTGTTCTGTTTTTCTTTATATACAAGGATTTATTGTAGTGTACATTGTGATAGAATAAAAACAATGAAGCAGAAAGAGATGCCTGGTATTACTGTTGACATGAAAGTTATGAGATGTGAACAAAATATTCTCAACAATCCTGATGGATCTGCTGATTACTCTGAAGGTTTTTCAATTTATTGTGTTTTTTTGTACTCTCGTAGTATGTGTACCTGATTAGAGTTGGACCATAATTTTATTCTGATTTTCCTTATTTTAGTTCTATTATGAGTTCGGGTACTGTCTGTGTTAGTCAAAAGAATATACTCCCTGCCCATAAGCTCTCATCCCTTCATACAAATTGATGTAAAGTACCGGTAGGCGAATAAAATTAGTTACCTCCATATGGGTATATATACTTCTGGAGCGCTGTGTTTTTTATGATAAGATGTTTTAATCTGAGCTTCAAGAGGTGTTTGCTTAGAGTTAGAAAAAGATTGGTTTTCTGATTTTGAAATGACAATTGCTTTTCCACTTCCCACCAAATTTATTATATTACACATTGAGCGAGGTGCAGGATGAACCAATTGATTGATCAAGTCTTTCACTAATCGTCTTAAACTGTGAATAGCGACTTGATAAACTGTTAGGCAATGGCATATTCACATGGCCATGTTTGGTAATTCAGTAACAATTTATTCAAAAAATGGGATGCAATGACGGGACCAGTTAACCAGTTTTATATTTTAGAGATATTGCCCAAAACTTTTTGTCAGAATTATTCCACCTGCGAAATCAAATCTACTCGTCATCTCTGGGTAAAGGCAAAATACTCTTCTTGCAATCAAAAAGTCACATAATTTATATTCTGCTCTGAACATTTCACTATCCAGGATATCAAAGAATAATTAGAACAGTTGTTTCAATAGAGTAACTCAATGCTTCCAACAAAAATAGATTTATTGATTTGCAACCAAAAATGAAAGTAAAAATACAATGAATGTACACAATGTTTTCCGGTAAAGACCAGAGGGAGCGATACCATACAACCATATGATCATTCTAAGTCAGAGATGGCAAACTATAGTTCAATTGATCAATTCCAGATTTATTATTTGCTCTATTTTTAAACACATTCCATTTCAATTTAGGTGACACAAATGTCCTCGTTGCAGTTTATGGACCGGCAGATTGTCGAGAAAGTAAACAATTAATTGACAAAAGTACAATTGAAGTTTCATTCCGACCCAAAGATGGGATTCCTGGCGTTGCGGAGAAATACTTGGAACACACAATAAGGCATACATTTGAAAATGTCATCATGACACATCTATATCCAAGAAGTCAAATAATGATCATTGTACAAATTGTTCAAGATTGTGGATCTGTATCCTTTATTAAAAACCTTAGATTTACTAATTTATTTTCATTTTTATGACGAATATTCTGTGCCTTTTGCTGTGAGCAGGTTACTCCCGTAGTATATGTGCCAGGTTAGGATTAGGTCATAATATTATCATAATTTTCTGGTTTTAGTTCTATAATGAGTTCATGGACTGTCTGTGTTATCCAAGTGAATATACCCCCTGCCCATGGGTTTCAGACCCTTTACACAACTTGATGTGAAGTAGGCGAACAAAATAGTTATCTCCATATTTATACACACACTTCTATACATGCAGACATTGATATCCGAGGTTATTTGAGAAGCTACTGATTTTAGGAGAACCAGAATTTCAGTTTTAGTAGACTTGATTATAACTCAAACTCGAGTTTGAAGAGTTTGACTGGTTCAAGCCAGAGATGCCTAGAACTAGAAGGAACTGAATATTCAAAAATTTTGGAATTACCGTATATTTCCTTGTTTTACCGCCCGATCCTGATTAAGGGCCCGTGTGAACAGAACATGAAAAAAATAAAGGCCGGTGATCGAATACCCGCCCGATGTAAAAGCTGATTTTCAGTGGTAGAGAACAATAGGAAATAAGAAGCGCTTTTGTCACAACGCTGTTGAATTTTAAACACTGGTAGATAACACTCACACTTGAGAACTGGAAATGACAATATATTTTGAGTATAATTTTACTTTGAAAATAACAAGCGCCCGTGCTTGAATGAGGGCCCCGTTAGTAAGTTTGGTTAAAAAAATATGGGCCCGGGCTACAAAATGAGCAAATACGGTAGTTTTATTCGATTGAGTAGTCTTGATTTTAGGAATAATTCAGATTATATTCTTTATTAGCATTTATTATCTTATGATAGAGAAAAAAATTAGTAACTACCGACAAAATAAAATAGAGAATATCGATTAAAACAAATGTTAATTTAAATTATACTGCATGACTAAATTTGATTTCTATGAATTTACAATTGTCTTTAAAAATATCTCTTGTTGAACAGACCCATTTCAGAATGTATTTCATATTCGATGAGATTATTTTCGATGTATGAATTGTATTGAGTAGTGGATACTAAAATATTTGGTTTTGGCCATGAATGATTTGAGCCATTTCGATAAAGATTTGTCATTAAAGTTCTTTAACTACATTTGAAACAGCTTCTTTCTTGTGCTATCAATGGATGCAGCATGGCTTTACAGGTGAGTGTATGATGTTTTTACTATTTAAATGACTTATTTGCTCAGACATATATCAATGAATTCGAGATATTTGCAAATGGTGCATTGTGCTAAGCATTAGGAATACACTTGCCATCTCACCTCTAATTATCTTGTGTGGGTTCGCATGCCGCAGGGTGGTCGGTTCTGGCTTCTTCCACCATCAGGCCATGCATCTGAAACAAAAAACTTTCTAACACATCCAATAACTGACATGGGCTGGTTACCGGACGAGAGGCTGTGATACACCATATGAATAAGCTGGCTTAAGTCGGGTTTCCTCTTCCGCTGTATAAATACTGCAATCCTGACGTTTGTATTATGTGACACTCTAGGACAGCAAAATTCGGGATATTTACTGGAAAAAATGTGGATTGGTATGCCATTGACAAATATAAATGTAGTAGTAGTTATGGAATTATAAAATTTTGTTAAGGATGGTCATGTAAACATTCTATGAAGGGTAATAGATTTGTGGGTACTCCTGTAGTATGTGCACCAGGCGAAACTATAGTAATTTTATTCCGATTTTCCTTATTTTAGTTCTATTACGAGTTCAGAGACTGTCTGTGTTGGCCAAGTGAATATACCCCCTGTCTATACATTTCAGTCCCTTTACACAACTTGATGTAAAGTAGGCGAACAAAATTAGTTACCTTCATATTGGTACACATACTTCTGGAGTGCTGATTTGTGTATGCATTTATATCATTTCCAAATGCCTACAATCTTGTTTCAGGATGCTGGAATCAGCATGACATGCATGCCAGCTGCTATATCGATGGCTCTTACGAAACGAGCAATGGAATATGGAATTTCAGAACCTGGTGAGGGAGACACACGAGTAGAAGAAGTAGTGCTGACTCCGGCCACCACTGAGGAGCAAGAAGCCAGTGCTTCAATGTTGTTTGTATTAGATAGTGTGAAAAGAAATGTTATATCAATTATTAGTAAAGGAACAATAGACCCTGTGTTGCACAAAAGGTGCTTGATAGCTGCAAGGACAGCTAGTGAAATAGTTTTCAAATTTTACAGAGATTCTGTTGCTAAAAAAGTCTCTTCAAGTGTTGACTTTACATGACTCTTCGTGATACTTGGTCATTTGCCATCGGATGGCCTTGATCAGTGAATGGTGGTGGCCTATTTGAAATCCTAGGAACGGATTCGCTTTTGAATCAAAGTCACAACAGATTCGTTCCATCATATGTCACTACGGAGGCTACATCAACATGGCCCATTTTACATAAATCTAATACAAAACTTCAGAGACGCCAAATATAAGGCTAGTTGTCATCTGTGTTACGAGGTATATGTTTCCTTCAGTCGTCTAACATTTCAGCTCTCTCGCTGATTATTACGACATTCCAAGAACGGTCGTGTGAACCTCCTGCGTAATGCAGTTCTCCACATTACTGCACAACATCGTAAGGTTTCTGCACAAAGAAGACTGGTCCTAATGCATTTGAGGTCTTGTTCTTAAAATCTTTTCACTTGACTATTAATAAAAAAACTTGAAGGGCATAATGCGTGGTTCTGCAATTCTTTAGCCCTTCGGGGAGCACTTTGAGAATCTGTGTCTTAGATTAGGTATTACATACCTGAACCATAAAAGTTAAAAGGCTGCATGTTTGTGATTGGTAATCCATGATTTGGTACAGGACAAATTGAAACAAAAATTGGTTTTTAACCTTAGTTGGTAATCTGTTGTAACCTCTACAGCCCTGAATTCAACCCACACGTTCTGGTCATGATGTGCAAGAGGTTTTATGAGAAGTACCCATTCCTTTTGTTGATGCTTCGCCACCGTCATATGCAAGCAGAAACGCAAAGCATTAGCATTCTTACCATACAGTGATATGTTTTCAGAATAGGGGTTTAAGGAGTAGCAGTATATAATTATAAGTTCCCCCTCCAAGTAATAGGTGTCATTTCGAAATTGAAGGCGTTTCGAGGAAAGACACTTTGGCAGACATAAATCTGGAAGTCATGGGATCTGATGTTAGGAAGAGTGACTTTGATATCGGTCATCTATATGTGCGCATGGAGCCTGAACTGTTCTGTGTCTTTGGTACATATACACCATAAACAAAGTTATATGATCTTTTGGACCAGTATATGCAAGGGTATTGAAATTTGGTGTACGAAGAACAAGCACACCCGTAAAAGTTTCAAATCACATACCTAAATAAAAAGGCTTAAATTTCATGTCTGCATTTCCATTTCTTACTTAGCGAGTAGTGACTGATCATTAGTGGTGTTATGGAGTGATGGGTTCAGATTAAAGCTAACATCTGAGGCCTGACCAGACATTTCGAGCCTGCAAATCCAGTTAATTAGTCGGGTCGAGCCTGCAAATCCAGTTAGTTAGTCGGGTCGGTTTTAATACCCACGGGCAGTGATTTCCCTACACCCCCCCCCCCCCCCCCCCTAATTTTGAGGTGCGATTCCACACTGAGGGGTTCTAAATCGCAGTCTGCGGGCCTATTACGGCCTTTGAGTTTCAGATACCGTCTATTGTTACATCATTACCACAGTTTAAGCACGTTTATTTCGTAACAATTGAATTATTCCGGTATCTTATGTATACGTATGGGTATTGGGGTTACACACTGCAGTATTTTAGATATCAGCCGTATATTTAAGAAAGCTTAAAGATGTCACAAAACGAAAACTAGGCACTGAAAACAGACGTTTATTAGATGAATGACAGCGTTTTTATTTCTTTATTGAAAAGAATCAAACTTCAGCGATTTGTCTTCTTACCAACAAAATATTTCAGTTCTGAAGGAATACAACATTATGCGACATTATGATCAGTTGACGAGCTTATTTCAAAATTTAATTCATACAAAAGTCAAACAAACATGTTCAAAAAAATTAGAAATGTGTAACAAAACAAGCCATAAGTAGCCATTCATACAATGCCAGATTAGCAAGTAACTTCATTAGTCACTATCAGTTGCAAATTACTTGTTGAAACGTAGTAGTATATATTTACGGTTGAAAGCCGTGCTTGTTATCTATTCCCCGGGAATTCTATCAGCTAAAGAATATAATTATTGATTTCATTACATAACAAACTGCGATGCTAGGTGTATCTAAAATCAAGCTTAGAGCCTATTTTGGTGCCTATTTCTCAAAATTTTCCCAGGGCGCTTGAGCGCGCCCTCAACCTCAGCCGTGTCATCCCGCGCTCCCCTTTTCTGGCCCTACAATTTCATTCTACTGTGGATTTTGGCTCGCGTCAATCAACTTGGGGGGGGGGGGCTCCCATGTACATCGTTTCTTAAATACATACCATTTTTTTAAGAATACAAATAGCCTAGTTTTATCTCTAATAGCAAATTATTTACCACCCCCTAAATTTTGAAACACCCCCCCTAAAAAGAAAAGCTGGGGAACATACTGCCCACGGGCCCCTGTCAGGTCGAGCCTGCGAATTTTCGGGCCCGATCTTACCTCTAGTTCAGATCGAGCCTGTGCTTGTCTTTGCACTTGTTGCGGTGTTTACTATTTCACCATTCTACTGCAAGACTGAGCAATAGCTGCATTCTCATCTCTTGCATAGGTAAACCAAATTTTGCGTGTGGTCCAACTAGATGTCTAAGGTTGGTTATATGGCCCATTGCACCTGCCGACTAGCTTTACATTTGGCACTAAGGTATCAGATTTTTGCAAGGCATGTCATATTAATACAGCTTTAAAACCACATGCACACTTCTCCGAAATGGAGAACCTTTTGTTAGTGAGTTCAATACAAAACGGAACCTGTTCTTAAACTTTGAATCTCACCACTGGTGACCAACCTTAAAGAGTAATTTGCAAAACCTAGCTGCACTTTTCTGCACAACAAATAGTTGCTTCCCGTGTGACTTGACAGACTCTGCAATAAAAACAACAACTTTACATTTTTAGTTTTATTTCAGGGGATGTTTTTATTCAGATTTTATTGCGGCTACTTGACCAGCAATTCTGTCCATATCACGCTGCCCTTGGTGTGTGACTCGCCGACCGCTGTGAAAAATAGGAAAATTGAATGAATATTATGAAAATATCAGCAAAATGTTGTTTACTTGGTATATTTTGCCAAAAGACAAGTTGAAAGCTATGTGTTCAATTTCTGGAACCTTATGGCTTAAATAGATGATCAAAACTGCCTAGTTTGCTGCTAAGACAACAACTTAATCCTACGACAAACACTTCTGCCTGGATGCGTCTTAATTGCATGGTTGACCACGATAGCCGCATATGACAATTTCAGCATATGTCCAGGAATTTCATGGCATACATCGTGAAATTTAAAAAGGCCAGAATAGCTAATCTAAGCATGATACAAAGGAAATAAGACCTTTGCCGAAACATGGGGTTCGTACCTATTCTTATGTGTAACAAAAGTGCTACCAATGAACATTGGAAAGAGTAAGAGTACTCACCCCAAATCATCCTTTTGAATCATTTTAATTCCTTCTAATGATTGCAGAACACGACGAGCGACAGAAGCTGATCCTCTGCTGAAATGAGAAGGTCTTGTTCCCCTGCGTTTACGACCTTAAGTGGAACATGAATGTTTTAGTATATAGATAAAGCCTATTTTTGGTAAAACTGAACATTGTACTATCGGTATATTCTGAAATAATGTAATATTGAATATATATCAAGACCCAGAACTCCATATTCAATTGGCTTGGAGTCTCTGCTCCTCGACTTTGTACAGTTTGGTTGTAGAAACACTTATAATTGACAAGCTTTAAAAAAGGTTGGGTTAACCATTCATGTCCTCAAGTTTGGGTGCTGAAAGGAAAAGTTGAATACTGCGGTGTCTTGTCATCAGGGATGTTCAATTCCAAATTAATATTCTAATATCGCAACTTTTGAATATCACCTTCATGTTTATTTATGAGAATAACAAATGGTGTGCACACATTTTAGCGCAGCTGTCCGGCGCGACAATGAATTACAGCCGATATCAACAGATTTTAATTAGCGCTGACTTGAAGTATTTGGTTATTTATCGCCATATGAAATAACAATTTTAAAATCGTATTTATAAATTGTATTTCTCGCCGATTTACATGAAGAAATATTTTTGGGTCAGATCGTAAATATTTCAATTGATAGTTTGATTTTATGGTCACACAGTTTACAACGCCTCTATCAAGAATCAACACTAACAAACAATAAATAAAATACAAAAGCCAATCGAATAGTGACCATCTCAACCTAACCTCCAAAGATCTTTGTGAAAGATTTGACTCCGACACCTCCACGAACATAAAGATGTCTTATGGTAGAAGCACATCTTATATAGAACCAATCTGGGTCTTCCGGTGCAAGCTCCTTCCTTACTGCAGTTTTAACAAGATCTGCCCATTCTGGAACCTTCAATTTGCCAGACCTAAAAATTATTCAGGATATATCATTGCTCGAAGAAATTTTTGTCTGTTTTTCGGTGGCAATCATGGGTAATCTATACAAATATGTTTAGTGGGTAGCGTCTCGTCCTAGCTGGTGCAACTACTAATGCTAAAAGTGTATACGTCGCTAGTAAATGGTTAATAAGGTAGAAAATCTTCAACAGACCAATTCATTCTAATACAATGTAAAGTTTCTTGAAATGTCTTATTAAGACACTAGAAATACTTGGGAGCAAGGAAAAAATGTAACAAACAGAAACAAGTTTTGAAAAGCAAAAACACTTTTAGGTCGTCTTATGCCTAAACCACATAAGTAAGCATAACAATGTGATATGACTTAGAATGAGAAATGAATGAAAAAAGTGGTTTGACAATAGAATTTATAACATATTCTTCTAATAATTTCAGTATACTGTTGAGAAAAAGCAAAATGCTATGACAGTATGTACATAATGTCATGTGCTCATGTGTGATAAAAATAATAGTTAAACAATGCAATCTTTGAATCTACCATTTTAGCACTTATTATAAACAAATTATGTTGGAGCTCAGAGATGAATGACGCTGCTTGGTACAGCGTTATGTGACTTCTTTAGCAACCGACCTAGAAACAAACTCTTCCTGTGATCAAGCTCTTTTTACAGTTTTAGTTCAGCCATCAAGGTAAAATACTTATTATTTCAGTATCATTGAAGAAATATATTCCATACTCTGACAATACCGGTACTTACTTTTTTAAAAAAGCAGCAAGATGTTTTACAAACAACTGTTGGTCGACGTCCTTGACTGTGACTCCACCACCCATCTGAAAAATATTGAAGGTAGGTAATTGACTATCTATCCCGAAAACCTTTATAACTGATTCAAATTGCTCAAATATACACTAATTCACATTAGAACGACATAAAAAGGCAAATAGACACAAAAACTACTGATTCCGCACCTTGATCGAACTCGAGAAACAGCGAAAAGACAGATTCAGAAATTTGAGATACCGTTGCCAGATAGTAGAATGTGGTCAAGCATCAAATTCAGGACAATATTATTATTTTGATAATATTGTATTATAATTTTGACATGGACTTTTTTAAAATATTTTTATCTAAAATTTAATAGTTTTAATATTAGATTTGAAAAAGAAAATTGGCAAATTGTAAAATGGATAAAATATATTTCTGGCAACATCAACAGACATGCATGTTGATGTGAGTCTCAAAACAGACTTGAAAAATGAATGTGATTGTCGAGTTGGTGGAGTTACCCCGTAAAAAAATGAAAGTTAGTACCATCACAGAAAGTTGAAGTACATTTCAATTTCATTTATTTGAACCGTATTCACAGCTCTGAGTGCCAGCGAGACAAGAAAAGTCATAAAAATCCCAGCTGATAAAATGGAAATGTTTTTTGCGTATTATCATGTCACTTTTTATGCTAGCTAGCATGAAGCAATGAGCATATATACATGCTCATTGCATGAAGACATTATCGTATTTGAAATACGATGGAGTATAAATATGGTTTATATACCGTAACAGCTGGTACAGTTACCGAACTTTGAATAATTATAAGTTGTAAAGAGTCAATGTCCCGCGAAGCCTTGACTAGAATTGGGATTTAAAATTCTGAAAGTAGAGTTTTTCGGCATTTTGACTAAACATTTCTGGTATTCTTCGAGATTATTAAACTTTATTAAGCATCGGCGTACTCAGTAACATTACCAGAAGCGTTTACATGCATGGAAATACGCAATATACAGACGTTTTCGGATTGAAGCAAAACAATTATATATACTGCTTTTATTTTCATGGAGTAAAAAGATCCCTTTGTGTTTAAATTGTTCATATATGTTACTAGTGAGAGATGTAACAATTTTAAAAATACCGGGTTTCGCCAAGAATCCATTATCGAAACCTTTGACTGTAGCGCTGACGTAATGTCGTAGCTTTTTTTCATTGTTCCGTGGTTCTGGTATGGAATATTACAGCCATTTTGTCAGCAAGAATCAAATTAGCCGCCCTCATTAGCGCAATGTCTGAATAGGATAGGCTTAACATATTTATCCCAGTGGAGAGAAAGTCGATAAGACGGTTTAATCATATGGCAAACCACGGCCTCTCGTCCGGTTATCATTCAATGTCGGGTATGGGATTAGTTAGGTATTTGTTTTCGGAAGCATGGACTCTATAGTAGGGGAAGCCGTTACCGTCCAGCGGTTACATGAACCACTCTACGGCGGAGCGGAGTCCAGCAATCCTCTCGCACATATCCATACCCCCGTTGAATTCGAACCTGCGAAACCATGCAGAGTAATCAGAGGTGCGGGGGCGAGCGTATTCCTTACGCTCAGCACAGTGGTTTTAAACCTTTTTGTCTTTGCGGACCCTTCTGATACTCTCAAAGCGGTCGCGGATCCCTCAAAAGATTTTTATTTGAAATTTAGTTCATAGCTTAAACAGCAACCTAATGTTCCTTTCATACATATTTAACCAAGCCAAAAATAACACCAAACTAGTGGACATTTTCATTTATTTTGTCAAATCGAATACACTTTTGCTGTTGCATATCAGAAGCAAGTCTTGAAATACGTGGTCGTGTTTTTGATTACAATGGACGCATATCGTCTTCGACGTTTAGTTGGTTACGAGCCTTGAATTTGATATAAACGAGAGCAGAAAATCCATTTTCACAAAGGTAAGTGAAGGCGAATGGAACAATAACACGTAATGCTTCCATCAATACTTTTGGGTACGACGGCAAAATGGCGCACCAAAACTGAGAAAGTGATCACTGTAGCTGCGTTCTCGTTTTATCATTGTGATGTCATAACTCGTATTTGTCACAATAGGTCTACGGGAGATGAATCAAGATAGTTGTTGTAGGCTATTGTCATAGGCAGCAAATTTTTGAGCGTATTACAACAACAACAAAAACGATATTTAACTGCGAATAATTTCCTAAAATCTTAATTTAATCGCGGACCCCCTGGAAATGCTTCGCGACCCACTGGGGGTCCGATGACCCCCGGTTGAGAACCACTGGCTTAGCACTATGAGTCACACCGCCGCGCCTTGGTTTGGAATCCTTTATTTATCCTACATCAGCTGAGTAAGATGTGAAATAGGCTACGTGCTGTTCGATATTGAACTAATAATATTATATATAATAAAATATTGTACATAGATATATTTACATGTCTTATATTATATATATGAATTAAAAATTTAGTGAATCTACAAACAAATAGCGAATTAATATTATATATAAAGAGAAATTGTTAACAAATTTGTTGTTGTATACTTTGAATTAACGAAGAAGAATCAAAATGTACGCAACGGGGTTCCGTTTCTATTCGTGCGCAAAAATTCAATTTTCAAACCCCACAATTTTGTTGACATCGCAGTCTTAGAAAATATGGATATGGGCCCAAAACTTCATTTTCCGACCCAGTCCTGGGAGATGGTTCGATTCGAAAATGCCAAATTTGATAACGGCTATTCGTCCGAGATAACAGCTAATAACCAATTTGTTGAAATCATATTTTTGCCTTAGTATGAGTTTTCTAAAAATTATGAAAAGTTGTAAAAAACATCGCTGTATATAAAATTCATTGGTAGAACAAATCGCCAAAACGTTTGTTGAAATATTCCAAAGAGGTCATCACTTTTCTTTCGATGTTCTTCGGTGGAGAATCCTTAAACTCTAGTTCTCTGAGTTCGACTTCATCGTCAACCGAAGCAAAATAAGCAACTGTTCTTCGTATTTTTGATCTTTCTTCTTTATCATTTGGCACAATTACTCGATGTAACTAGACATTAAAATAAAGCAACAATCAGAAACTATTTGAAGAAATCGGGAAAATGTGTGCGCCGATTAAAGTGCGAAACCATTTTGGAGGTCTCTTTGGACTATAGTGTCCGAATTATTTCAAATATTGAATCTCTCATTTCGAAATGCCAGACAATAAAATGGATTCATTGTTTCACGTCGAAATAACATATTTCTTTTGTCATGGCCATACCTATAATACAATATTGCGTTCGACTATATTTTGGACATATGATAAAATGGTTCAGTATTGTAACCTTATTTAAAATTCCATTTAAATTGATGTTTGGATTACCGTAGACTTCAATCGTCCCCCGCTCCAGAATTCTATCATATCGCCTGTTATGAGCAGGATTGTATTCGGAATGTATCTGACATCTTCGAAGTTTCCTTTGGAGGTTTCCATCTTGGGAATAAAAAGTAAAGTTGGGTTAAAAATAAAAATTAGTTCTATTCTTGCAGACAAATTCATTTTGTTTTAAAATAACTGAACTTGTTATAAAACTGGGCCCACGAATTGCAGGCTAATATCTGTATGACTGCGTTGTTGCCGAAAGGCTTAGCCATACACTATTAAAATCTGCAATATCGACACACGTGAAATCGTCTGATATAATGCAAGAGAGTAGTTGAGCTTGCCTCAACGTGGCAATTCTGCCTGAAATATTGTGAAGAAGAAGATATTTTTGAAAAGTTCAAAGTTGATATTCCGCAAATCGAACCTGCAGTCCCCCAATACCGTCATTAAACAAGAGAGTTAACGTTGCAAAATCCGTATGTTCGCCAATTCTTGTCTGGTTTTCCTTCAATGAAACTTCCTCAGTAATAGCTGGATAGCGCAAAAGTCTGATTCCAGTTCTGTTTCCCTCGTGTCCAATTAGATTGTGAGATTTACAAAATAAATCGGCGTCCTGTTTAAAAAACAAACAAAAAGCAAATTATATCGAAAAATGCCTTATTCGGTTTTTGTTATTATCTACTTGTAATTTAGGAGCTGTTGATGTAAATATATTTTGATACAAATGACGCGATGGCTCAGCGGTTGAAGTGTTATAATTTATTGTTTTGGCATCGCAGATCAGACATCTCGGATTCAAACCCAATAGATACAAGTATATTAAGAAAAGGGCGTATAACAACAAACATTTAAAGATTGAAAACAGTACGAAGACTTAAGTAAGCTCTGACGTAATCAAGTTGCTATGACACGTGGATACTATCTCATGGAAAATACAAATGTGTGCCGTTTATCATAGGAATCCATTCCCATGGACAAGACTGAAAATAATAGTAGCCCCGTGCATATCTTCGGATATCAGTGGCCGCTAATCAGGGACTTGTTCGGAGTGAAGACGTGATAAAAAAGAGAAAAAATATGCATCGTTGTACAAAGTACCTTCAAACTCATTCCTCTTCCGAGTGCTTTGAATACACGGAAAGTCAATATTTTACAAAGCCGCTGAAACTCGACTACGTTTGTCTTCATATTATCGATATCAGGCCACTCGTTGTCCGCAGTCCACGCAGGCAACCGGAAACCTTCGTTGAAATCTGATGGCCTTTCAGGGTTGGACCTGTACGAGTACACGAGAATAAATTTTAAATTAACAAACTTGAATGTTGTTTGTATTCAACATACACATACCCCGTTGAGCAAACAGAAGAGAGTCGCATTTATCAGTCGGACCTGCTGTTCGGGACGACTTCAGGTTGAAAAATCAGAATATTGTTAAAAAAAACTTCCATCTTCTCATAATCCGATGGAACTCACTCAGAACTTTATACATAAATCCAATACATAAATTTTGAAACGTCAAATATTATGCTAGTCATCAGTTGCGGTGTGCGTTACCAATTTGACGCGGTCGTCTAACTTCTATATATAACAACAAGTATGGGTTCGTACGGATCCCTCCACTGAATAAATACAATTTATATCTTATATTATTTTCTTTGTCAGGTCAATGAATAGAAGCACATTTTTGTAGAATACTCACGTAACGCCACCCATTGGATCATAGCATAAATTTGGAGCGAAACCCTTGGAACAAAACTTCATTTTGTATTGATGAGGTTGATCGAAGAAAATATCGGATAATCTGTATATTTCGTCCAAAATTGCGCTGTAAAATACCTGTTCATTAGCATTATTTGATATTTTGAAGGTATATCTAGTATTGCCAAACAGACTCAAAATAGCACGTGAATCTCAAGCATTTTTGGCCAGAATTTCTAGAACTGACGCGTATCACTTAATAACCACTGGCTTGCCACAAACTTTCGAGTGATATCAGTTTATAGTTTTGTGGCTGCTGCACGTTAAAGAAAGTATGCAAAATGTCAAGCTCTCCAGAAGTATGTGTACCAATATGAAGGTAACTAATTTTGTTCGCCTAATTTACATCAAGTTGTGTAAAAGGACTGAAGCCTATGTGCAGGGGGTATATTCACTTGGCTAACACATTTAGTCCCGAACTCGTAATAGAACTAAAATAAGGAAAATCGGAACAAAACTTTGGCCTAACCCTACTCCGGTACACACACTACGGGAGTACCAAATGTTGGTGACCGTACATTTGAACCCATGTGTACATCCGCGGGTTCAATCTATATGCGGGTGTTAAAACCCATGGGTTAGGGTAAGTATGGGTTCAAATATCCGTAAAACAAAATAAAATTCCCTAGGTGCAATAGTATGCAGGTGCAATTGTCATGGGTTCAAATGTAATGGAACCCCAAATGTTTTATATATATATACCTACGTGCTTTGAGCAAAATGTCATTTTAACAAATAAAACTCACTTTGGCATTCCGTGATTTTCGATATAAGCAAATCCTGATGCTGCAAAGGCTTTGTATAGTTTAGTTCCAACTGCTTCAAGATCAGATTCTACGAGAATTCCATCGTTTTCCAAGTGAAGTCCGCAGTTGTTAAAGTCTATTATTGGAATATCCATATGGGGACGTACCTCGTTCTTACCTATAATAAGTGCTTAGACAACAATAGTGATAGTGTTTAGAATTTAGATAGAAAATTATATGATTTTAAAGATAAATTTACCTTATATTTCGTGTTGGCATGGTAAGAAGATTTTCGTATGAAATCGAAGAAATGAAACTATATATACCAGAGGTAGAACTCAAAAATATATTAACTGATTCTGCTTTTTTATCAAACTCACCATCAGATTTTATTATTTCAGAAAATGTGTGTATATCAACTATTCATATGTAGCCAACTGAATATATATGTATAGAGAAAATTGGCTTGAAAAACACATCAAACTCTAAAATTGACAAGCCATGGAACAGCGATAATAACAGTGCAGCGTACGTTTCCCACCTGTAAATGCTGATTATACAAAAGATGAGCTACGTGCAATCTTAATACAGTAATCAATAAAGCTCGTGCAATTTTTTTCAGCTGGCAACGACAATCTGCTTATGAACTAGATCTTAACGCAGATGTATTACAGCATCGACTTCAAAGTCGACAAATGCAACTTGCTGTTGAGAGAAAACTTGTCTGGTATATATTTGCGTTCGAATGCTCACTCAAGCATGCATAACCTGAAATTTAGTAACTCGCGCGCGAGTACACACAATACGTGGTTTTGTAGAGCAAAGTTTACCAAGCAAAAATTAAATTGAATTTTCAGTGCTTTTTAGAAGGTCGATTATTGAAATCTTATTAAACTAAGATAAGTTTGAATGAAAATCAAAATTGAAGATAAAACTTGAATGTAAAAGACCTTGAATCATTCTACTTTCGTGTTCCCCAATTTTACCTGCTTTTTATTTACTGACTGAAAATAGAACCTTAATAAACCCAATATTTCCTGAAGCTGTGCAGTTTTGCAGGCTTCACAAACTGGCGCGCGCTTACGCTGTTTGTTTTGTTTGTTTTATCTTGATCTATGATGCATTTCAAATACAAATCACACTTCTTTCAATCTTTTTTTCTTGATCAACAATGTTTTCACAAAAATAAAGTTTTCATATCCACAGATCAGGGTGACTCCCCAGAAAACCTCATATTTACTAAAATCCCAGGACGCTTTGCACTAAAGTTACGTTACGTTCTGCTGTTAATTAAGCAACCTAGATTACTCACACTTTTGGCGCAATCATACACAAACAGTAGTTTAAGAGTATACAATATTAAAAAAAATTGATGGATTTGATAATACGTTGATGGTTAAGATGGAATTACAAAATGGTCGGTTTCCAAAAGAAGATTCCATCACAGCAATGTTTTGTTTAGCCAAAACTTATCCACTGTTTGGGTCAGGTGAACATCCAGAATAAGGAAAAACCTCAATACAAGTATGTAGTTTAGGTATTACTACGTGTCAATTAAAGTATCAGTATTATTTTATTTAAAAGAAGTGACGCTTGTGGGAAATATTTTAAGATATAAATCTTCCATTTGTTTCCCGAAACAATTGTTAAGGGCATCGGGATTAAAAATTGTAAGTACATATTCTATCTAACCAGGGCCGGATCGTGGCTTCTAGACAATCTAGTCAAGAGGCCCTAAGTACTTAAGATTATGGTACCCAACATATAAAAAAAAATCTTAATAATGAAACTGGTTGTCCATGTCATCTGAAATTGAATGGTAAGAAAATTTCAGTGTGCATTTCTAATTAAGGGCAAGTTACGATTAGTTTGCAACAGTTCTTTTACCTTCAAACATAAAACGGTTATGATACTCAAGAACTTGATTTCAACCGGCTCAATTTCGAGGTCCGTGTGGTCTGACCAACTCGAATTATTTCATTACCGCTGAGGCAACATTGAAAAATCGCATATGGGCTCCCTTTTTCTTGGTGCCCCATATAAATAAGCACGTGCCTATTTTGCTTGCTTATGGTTAATCCAGCACTGTATCTAACATACTAACAACAATCCGTCATTTAAAAAAAACATGCCTAACTGATAACTCTGATAAGATCGTGCTCTCAGGGTACTCCAGTAGTGTGTGTACCAGATTAGGGTTAGGCCATAATTATATTCCTATTTTCCTTATTTTAGTTCTATTACGAAGTCGGGACTGTCTGTATTAGCTAAGTACTTATATACTATGGGAGTACCAATTATTGTAGTTGTTGTTTGCATTATTGGTATTTTTCTTCTTCTTGTTACAGTTGTCGCTTTTCTGCTCAACCGTACTGTACCAATTGATTTGAAATTTTCAAGAGTTGAAATTGGTGGTGTCGATTTTTTTCTGTGTACTCTGTGATTTCTTTTTTCAGACGCGCAAACTGTTTGCTGACTTAAAACTATACATTTTTATTCAAGTAAGTTGTCATGAAGATGTATTTGGCAACATTACTTCTGAAGAGGTTTTAGCCTTTCCGTTTTCATAGCGGCCACCAATCCGTACTGACTTGCAAAACCACCACGTGAAAGCACGTATCACTGTATGTGCATCCTCGAAATAAAATAGAAATTTTATACTAGGGATATTTTATTACTTTTATCTACATTAATATTCGAAGCATTTCAGACACATAGTTCAGGAAGTAATAAGATTATAACAGGTTCAAACTAATACCATCAACTACAGCACTACCATCTTACAGTTTGCCATTCTAACCAAGTATGAAATGTCATTATAATATCGATGCACAGGCATATTATCATGTTAGTATTACAGATGAACGACTAACAAAAAAAAAAGATATATTGGTTAGTGTTACATTTACGTACATAAACTGCATGAGGTTTTGCAGTTTGGACTTCTTAAATTCATCTATAGGGCAGTTGTGTGCAACACTTTGTAGTTGGGCCATATAACTAACTTTAGACATCTAACCGGGTCAAACAAAAAATTAGTTTTTTCATTTGCACAACGAATTAAAAATGAAATAAAAATTAAACCAGAACGTCACGGGAAATGCAAGATGAGCGAATGCTGCTATCGCTTAGCCTTCCAGTAATAAAGACACTTGGCAAAACGATGGAAGATTTAACAAAGCGACAAAAGCAAAAATATTTATCCTTGCGGGCGCATTTTAAAACATAAACTGTCGGATTAGAATTTATGCTCGATGGGGAAAATTTGAGTGTTGACAAGGGCCACGATGATTGGCGTAGCGTGCCGGGCTGTTGCCTGCGGGCCGCCTGTTGCAAATCCCTGATCTAAAGGAACTGTCGATTTATATTTCAATTTCATCTGTAAGAATCAGATTTTTTTATTAAATAACTGTGATCAGGGCTTGGGTAGCAAACGAGAGCTTTTATAATTATAAACCAATTTATTATACCATGGACGAGATGGGAGCATGGGATATGAATGCATGATGTCTAACATGCAACCAACACAGTCAAGTCTAACAACAAACTGAACATTTTACAGCAGGGGTTTTCCGACTTTTGGTGTTATGGAGTCCGTGAAGAGGTTGACCATTATTTACGGAGCTCCACAATAAGTTTATGCCAATAAAAAATACGATACATTAGTACTTACACAATGAAGGCGTTAACCAAGGCGTTAGTTGAAATATGACATCATCCATTGGAACTTATAGACAACGGCATATTTATAATAACGTCTAGTTGCCACATTTCGACTCTACCGATGGCAAATGTTAATTAGCCAAGTCAGTGTTTTAATAAGTATAACTCGCGGTTTCCGTTATGAAACCCTGAAGCTCCGAATAGAGCACTTTGAAAATCTATGTTTTATACTCTAGTCTAAAGCACCACACTAAATAAAGACAAGACAAATGTATAAGGTCAGCATTAGGGTGTATAAGTCAAGCATCAAAAAAATTACGCCATTCCAATCATTGGGAGAGTGGACTTCCCTATGGCAAGTGCTGCTTCGCCTCCTATCTTGACTCCGATTGCAGGAAGACCGAAGTAGGATAAAACACCCATAGTACCTGCAGCCTTGGCGTAATCCATGAAACCCTGTAATATTGAAGCGATGGTGAGAATCTGGTTTGAAACTATGGCCTAACTGGCCCTACTAATTTTTTAACATCTTTGGTAAAATTAACATCTTGGCGTTTAGATCCTCATATTTAACATAAGTCATCATTATGCCATAAGTTAAATTACTTGAGAAAAATGCGATACCCTATTATCAACAGTCCCGATTATTAAATATTTTCACTTCTAAATGCGACATGTTGTATTGAAATATGCATATCAAAATCAGGTAAATCACACCTACCCATTGTTTTACACTCTCTGTTTCTCTTAGCAGATGTTCCTGATTAAAAAGAAACGTATTCAGATGATGACTTATACTTTATTCTATCACAAATTCTTGGTACATTGAATTGGTGTCTTTTACATAAAGTAACTAACATAAAATGGACAAACGCATTATAAGCACACTTTGTCACCTCCATATATTTTATCGCTGACTTACAATATCTCTGTCGTTTTGCTTTATTGTATCCTTGAAGTTTTCGTTGTCAGAAGTCAACCTTTCGATTTTATTCGACAAATCAGTTATCTGTTTACTATATTTCTCTTCGCGCTGTTCCTGTAAAAATAACTTTAAAAATAAATCGGATAAAAGCACTTTATTATTATTTTCTTTAAATTTTATTGCGCAAACAAAACACAAAATAGATCAAACGTAAATTGCTTTTCTTCCATTTGTAACGATAACATGTAAAAATGCTGGATAAATCATCGGGATGAAATAATAGAATTGGTAGTTTACAATGTTAACTATTCCGTGCTGTGCTTTCCTGTAGGATTGAGTCGTTTTTCCGGCTTACCTTTCCCATTGGTTGTGAAAAGAAACCTAATTCTGAAGTCCACACTTGGTCTTTCTAACTAACCAACCAGCTTTGTCTCGATCGCCTGAAGCGTGGCATGAAAGAAAGTTTCTAATCTACTACTCACCATATCCCTGTCGTTTTGCTTTATGGTATCTTTAAAGTTTTTGTTGTCAGAAGTCAATTTTTCGATTTTGTTCAACAGATCAGTTATATCAGTTTTCTATATTCCACTTCGCGCTGTTCCTGTAAGAATGAAATTGAGAGAAAATCCGAGAAAAAGCACTTTAATATTCGTATAATCCATTATAGAAAACACAAACAAATCGAACGAAAATTAGTTTTCTTCCATTTGTAACGACGGCAAGTAAACAATGTTGAATAAATTATGTGAACTAAAAAAAAAAACATTTGAACGAGGCGCTGTGCTTCCATATAGGATTGAGTCGTTTCATCGGTTTTTGTTCCCCATTGGTTATGAAAAGAATCCTAATTTTGAAGTTCACACATGGTCGTTCTAACTAACCAACCTGCATTGTTGTCTCAATCGCCTGAAGCGTAGCATTAAAGAAAATTCAAATCTACTACTTACCATGTATTCGTCCTTTTGCTTTATGGTATTCTCAAGATATTGGGTGTGCAGTGTCAACTTTTCGATTTTGTTCAAGAGTTCAGTCAGCTGTTTCCGATTTTCCTGCTGTAAAATTAACTTTAAGAATAAATCAGATAAAATAAACTTTATTATTTATTCGTTTAATCCAATAGAGCAGGGCTGTCAAACTCGCGTAACTGTAATACATTTTTCAAGACTTTCGAATTGAAATTGATTATTTACATCTAAATAAACTGGTTTTAAAATATTGCAAATTTTTTATTTTAATTTTGACCCAATTATGGATACACCTCAAGTAGCAAAAGAATACTTGAAAAACACACTCCAGTGATTAGGAAGAAACGCAAAGTACATGAAGAAGGTCGCATTTTTCAATAATAAAGGGAGTTGCGAAATTTCTGTGCATTTCTAAACCACATTGTTTAATTTTTCGCTTTATCAATACAATGAAATAATACAATATAAGTATACATTATCAGAATAAGCACAACAATCAATATGACAAATTTAAAGATAAACTTCGAATCATGAAACTGTAGCAGTTAAAAGCACAGCTAAATCAACGGCAAATCTGTTTCAAAAAAAATCAGTAAAAGTAACGTTGCCACTGTTACAGACAGCTATGAACTTAGCCAGATGATTGCAGTCTCTGGATAGGCTTATTCTAATTCTGAAGTCTTGGTTGTTCATATTCGAATCCACCACTTACTATGTATTCGTCTTTTTGTCTCAAGATATTTTTAAGATCTTCGATGTACAAAGACAACTTTACGTTTTTGTTCGAAAGGTCAGTCATCAGTTTCTCATTTTCCGCAAGTCGCTGCGCCTGCAGAAAAAATAATATTCAGAAATTTTGATAAATTTGTGAAGCGACCACACTGTTGGAACCTTTCGGATAGTTCATCCGCTCAGACAAATTTGCAGACATTGTTGTAAACATTTGCGCGTTTTCGTGGTTTTGCTCTCATATGTCATTTTCTAATTTAAGTATGTTACAAATAATTTTTAGGTTCGTTGCGGTAATCGAAAATATTCTCGAAAATTCTGTATTAGACTCGACTAAAATTAGCTTAGATTATATATATCTATATCGTGTACATGCCAACCCGAAAATTTCCAGGCTTTCGTATATAACAGTGAACCGCAAAATTTTTCTCACACATCTCACCATTTGAGAGCAAAATCCTGTTATCTCGTACGAGATTCCACCGACAGTAACAAGAAAAGCAGAAATGAATATAATAATTGTTCGTTTTGAAATGGTGTTATTGTTCATAGTTCCTTCAACCTAAAACAAAAAATACATGATACTGATAAATTTATAAGCCTATTTATTTGGGTTATATTTGCTAATTTTGCCAGGGCCGACTGCTCGACCACAGAAACATTTTCAAGTGGGCCACAAACCTATTAAAAATTGCCAGTGTTATCGATCGATAAATCAATTGATTTTGATTGTAGTGGCACCGAATGATGATGTTGTTTTGCACTACCGAGTTGTAATTTACATTTAAATTATTGAAGTGGAAACGCCTATCTTCGAGCAAAGAATGTTTTGTTATTCTTATAGATTTTGCAAAGGAAAGTTATTGGCTTTTTGTGCAACTAAAGTGGCCGCAAAAGAAAAAAGTTTGAGAATTACTGCTCTAGTTTTAGCTACGATAGGGGTTAAAATCTTGGGTTTAAATCCCATGACCACCACCTCACCCTGGGTATAACAAATTGGATATAGGCAATGACTAACCAGGATAAATCCCGCCCTTATCATAAAAATGCAGGTCTTTACATATAAATGGATGGTTGTGCCGATACTTGTTTTGAACGAATCGTTCAGTGAACAGAAGTCATATTCTGTTTGTTGCGCAAAGTATATCTGATCATAAAACGTGCAAAAATCGGCAGCTTTCCGAGAATATACAGATATAATCAGAGTGTGCTCGTATTTGGGAGAATATAGGATTACAGTTTCAGGAATCGATAGTAGAGCAATAAATATGCAGGTTGGTCGCTAGAAAAGCAGAAAATTTGAAGATCAGATAAAATGCGCTTAGGTATAGGTTGAATTGAAAATTGATATAATATATGATTGTAAAAATATAAAAATAACTAGTGGTTTATCAAATTTTCTGTTTTTCTAACGACCACACTAAATCAGTGCTTAAAAGCTTTTTTCTCTACTTTCGGTGAATTCGAAATCATACGAACGACAATATACCTTAATAATTATTGGATATAAACGAATTATATAATTTGACATGATAATTTCGAAATACCTGTAAGGTCTTTGGCTCCAATTCTCGAATTTTGCTCATTTTACAAATGGCGTTTGTTTCAACGTTAGTTTAATCAACTAAGAAAAAAAATCAAGAACTAAGAAAAAATAAACTGTGTATCAATGCAAGCAATATATTTGTATTTAAACTTCTGTATATAGTATTGGTATATTTTTTGGCTCCATTCGCCTTTCTGAACTCTCTGCCCAAATCCGAAGCTTCCTTTGCTATGTACTTGTAACTGTTCGAAATTATTTTCACAAAAAGGCAATTTTCGACGCGTAGGTTTTGCATCAGGTCATCTATGCTTGAAAACAGTCGCCGACAAAAAAATTCTGAACGCTTTGGACAGTCCCGTATCATTGGGTCTTTGTATATGTTTTGAAGCAGAGTTGGAGAAAGATAGTTTTCTAAAGAAACTAATTTTAAAAAGTCGTCGATGTGGCAGTTTCTTTCATGAAGATTATAATTTATCCAATTTTTTCCAGCCTTCCATATCATATCATCATTTTTTGCATACTTGAAAATGACATCTAAAGTTTCTTCTGCCGAAAGGATACAAAATTTTTCAGTCAACATGACATCATCAAAATGTTGCTTGATGTAATTTTCAACTTTTGTTTCTAAATCGTTACATTGGAACAATTTCAACAATTCTGCAGCGGCAAGACATGTATCTGGGCACAAGTTTTCTTCGATGCGGTCAAAACAAATTTTTGTGAGTTCATCAATTTGCATCACACTGGCTACGTGTAATATTTCCGCAGCTGTTTCGACTGTTACATCTGATTTTCCCGTGTACATATAATCAATGCATTTTCCGACAGCAAATGCGTCCACCTCTTTCATTTCAACAGATCCTTCTCCATTTTCTTTCGTGTTGTGTGAGAACATAGCACGGAAGTAATCAGAGCAACCAGCAAGCACGGCGCGGTGTGCTCGAAAGGAAACTTCGCCAACGTGAATTGTAAAATCTTGAACAATGTCCTGATCTCTCAGATCACGTAGGGAAGTTAAAAGCAGATCTCCATGACTTGGTCGGTTTGCATCCGTAACTTTGTCGTTAGTTATTGCGCTACTGTCTGGCGCGTCCATTGATAACTACGAAGAACTATGAGATAATATAGAATGTGTAATGAATCACTGTTGCAACTTTAAACACACATTAATTTCTGGAGCAAAAATAGAGATGGTAGGAAGGAGTACGCAGTTTTCTGGTTTGAAAATTCTTTCCAAATAATTCCACCAATATTGGTCGATTTAGCTGAAACGCTATCTAGAATTTCTATGCGACGCATTTTACATAAGTTATTTGGGTTGTAATGAACTTAATATATGTTGAAATGCTGCTGGTAATTGTGGATATTTTAAATTGAACTGGCACTACTATTGTCAGAAAATCATAATGAATTTGGAAATAAAGCGCTTTGAAGTGGTTTCTCTCTGACTTAGACAAAGTGAAGTTTGTAAATACTTATTTGTAATATTGACCTCTGTGTTCAGTTTCAACAGTCAATCAGTCATACGTCATCATACAATCTTGCTCATTTCAAGTTAATATGCTGAAAATCTATAATAATATATCTACAAAACTATCCAATAAAACAAATTCTGCTAACTGCTACACGAGCCTATAATCTCTTGGTCAACTGAGGCCGGCGTATTTAATATTTAAAGACTAAATTTTAACACTAAACCTTAAACTTTTTATTTATATGTGAATTGCAGACTGTCTATCCTTGCCTTAGTTGTGATTTTGTCTGTACCAATGTAGCATTAAACCCTCATTTAGCTCAATTAGATACAAAATTATGAAAACATGAAAAACTGAAAATAATTTGTCAGGCTCTGGTCAGTCAATCCAGGGACATCACATCTTATCTCCGCATTCCAAAATCTCGTTACTAGGTTACTCTATTTATTTATTCAGTCTCGCTCTCTCTCATTCAGTTCAGAGTCACAATAGTTGAATTTTAACGATATGTATTGTTCTGAGCGATATCTTTCAATAAAGCCATTTGGCAAATACTTGCTATAGTGGTTCACGATTGAGCACTTCAAATATTTGCGGCACACCTATCACAACAACATGAAAATTAATAATATAATGGTGACTGTCAGTGCGATTGTTAGACCTGTCGCCCTCCTCGGGGTCGAACAGGTAATACGTGACGCTAATACGCTTTTTTATTTGTATTACGCCATTATTATCACTGGTATTCTCACTTTTGCATAACTTAATTCTTTTTGGTACATTTGAATATTTACTTCTCCTGCTGCAAAATCATTCAATATCGGCACTTGCGAGAGATATGAAAGAGGCAAACAAACTGTATTTCATCATAATTAATTATCATCGCTAGAAACACTACATAGGTTTATAGTTGTAATAAACAATTGCTTTTTTTATTTTTTTATTTAACCTATCTCAAAGCAGATCTAGTTTTGATGCGTTCCACGCTTGATAAGTAACTTTAAATTGTTGATATATTTTACTGCTTTCTTTTTTGTCAGTTCTAAAACGCGAATTTCATTTTAGGGGTTTTCCCCTGGCGATCTTGAATGTCTGACGAAATATTCAGCGTTAGGTCACGCGAAAACAAGATAGCAATCAACGTCATACTTGTCAAACACCTAATTAAGGGCCGATCGCCAAATAAAGCAAATTTTCTTTGTATATTTGATAAGCAAGCGGTAAAACTTGTACAGTGCACATCACGTCACAGTTACACGTCATTCTTCTGTACGTCATCTTCCGACAGTGCCTCATATTAATGACACCTAGATATTTATGCAAATGCTGATTATTAGATATATTTCATCTCTGCCGTTCTACGATGAAAGAAAACGATTTTTGGCAATGAGGAGTTTTGTAGTGGCACATGGATCTTATATGTATAAAATACTTAGCGCCATAGTGGTGGCTATTATCCTTTCAGTACGCTTTTGATTGAAGGAGCGTGAGTGTGTCAGCACTCGCTTGCGACGGCACTCTTTCAAGTACTCATGACCTTATTAAGCACATTCGTCTAAACTCTAAACTGATACATCATTCACAACTAAATTATCGAAGCAAAACCTGTCAAAGCTTTTATAAAGCTACGAATATTTTAGCACAAATTTTGTGGATTCAATCTCAGTAGAAAAGGCAAAATATCCTCATAAATTCTTTGTGTTTTGAAATATTCAATATTTTTTATTAGTTCACTATTAAACGCACAAAATTAAGGTTATCATTTTGTATTTTTCTAATATAATTTACAACTGGTTGGCAGATTCACTCGATAGGCAGATATTATGATTAAGCGTTGGTGACAGAACGCTTGGACTTTTTTTGAATATCCTAATCTGTTTATGTTCTAAATGCTTTTGCCCAAACACGATAATAAAATAAACTATCTTGCCGTTCCTCTTGAATGATTTGACTCAATATTTGAAATTTGATGACTCTGACTTGATTAAAGGCTCGAATTGTCCATGACCTGACTTCCATAGTGTTTTTGTATGGTTGCAACAATAGAGACAAGAATAAGTTTCGCCTGAATGCTTCAAGCTCTACTGATGTGTCACTCAATAAATATAAACTTCATCATTATCATATTTACTGAATATATCATTGAATAATAATTCATAAATGTATATAAGGCACATTATAGTAATAGGATGAGTAAATTTCAAATTTGCGTAATCAGAGAAATGCTTATAATATGTTCAAATCGGACGGAACTGTGTATTACCGAATCAAGAACATTTCAAAACGCATTTTGATTTTTTCATATAAACGATATTCATGTAAATAATTTCACAGCTGTTACGTTGTTAAAATTTATAACGTATATCAAAATCCATTCTTAATTTATTTTTACAGAGCATTTGCCTCTTATAATAATAAATAGTTTAATTGAGATATGATATACTGAGTTATGTTGAGGATACTTAGAGCTCAATATTTGTGAGTCTCTACACTTCCTTTTGTTTCCTAAAGTGAACAAGAAGAAAGTCTTTATGCTGCATTGCATATACCACGTCGTTTGAAAATACAATCGGCCTCCATTGCAGTTTTGGGATATGTTAGAATAACAAGGAAATATAAGTTGCACGTCAGATAAATAGCGCAACTTCTAGTTATGGTGCTATTGAGCCATTTTAAACGAACATGCAGAAAACGGTCGAAATAGTTCAGTCTTTTTTTGTGCGTTAGAGGCCCCGAGAGTGACTTTGGGTTGCGTGAAAGCTTGAGCGCCCGAACTTGAACCGAACAAACTTGCAGGCTTAGTATTCCCGAAACTGAATGAGCTTATGGGTACAGCTTGAGAAGACCCGAAACCGCTTCCCATGCTTGGTTCGGAGGCGGATTTCCGAATAGGAATCCATTGATTGAATACAGCATCATATCCATATAGTGCAATTCGTTTGTCAGACTCCTCGTAGGAAACAATCAATTTATTATCCGCAACAAAAACATTAGCGTTCACTGGCATGTTATGTAGTGAGCAAGCGAGTGTTTCCCATTGTGCCTCGATATTTTCAGGATTGAAAATTAAGAATTTTTGGAGCCGTGGACACAAAATGTATACTTTTTGTCGATATGAAGTTGCCGAAGAAGCGTGTTTAATTTGTGCTGCCACTTCGTCTCGCCATCTGTTATCTTCTGAAGTGTAAATTTTTAAAATTTCTTTTCCGAAAGCATAAACTCTTCCATTTAGATCAGTTACAAAGAATTTATCTGTAAAACAGCATCCCGGTAGATCAGTTTTCCAAGCATTTTCCACTATGTCGTAAAACTGCATTCTTGATTGACCAACAAAGAAAACTTTGTCTTCAAGTACGATCACTTGTGCTTTTGGGTCAAACATTTTTAAATCTGTTTTCTTCACCCAATTGTTTCTCTTGTTCAAGTAATACATTGATTTGTTGGTCAGAACGCATAACTTGTTGTTTATCGAAAATATTTTCCAGACTAAAGAATCTAAAAGTGTTGGAATGCTGAAAAACTTCCTCTCGGCATATCGATAACCACTGATAGTTCCGTCTTTCAACATCGCTGCTATGGCATTATCTAATTCGCGATCTTTATCTTTAGAGTCGAGCACACCGTCCATCAATATCGAAATGCATTCTAAATTGTCTTCCATTAGAACTTCCTTTCTGATGGCATTTTCGATGAATTCATGCGACAGCTCGGAGAACTTTATTGTTCTCAATAAAGTTGGAAAATTTGATGTTCGTGTTTCATCGTACTTAATCCATTTAAGTACCGCATTCCATCTTAGTTTTTCAGGAGCTAAATATTCTGTATTTTCTGCAAGAAAAATCATCAAAGCGTCCTTCTCGGCAAGATCAACAAATTCATCTCTAGTAACAATTTGTTCGAAATGATCGGCTAAAAATTGGTTGACGAAATCCGAAGCTTCCTTTGCTATGTACTTGTAATTGTTTGAAAGTATCTTCACAAAAAGGCAATTTTCGACGCGTAGGTTTTGCGTCAGGTCATCTATGCTTGAAAACAGTCGCCGACAGAAAATTTCGGAACGCTTTGGGCAGTCTCGTATCATTCGGTCTTTGTATATGTTTTGAAGCAGAGTTGGAGAAGGATAGTTTTCTAATGAAACTAATTTTAAAAAGTCGTCGATGTGGCAGTTTCTTTCGTCAAGATCATAATTTATCCAATTTTTTCCTGCCTTCCATGTCATATCATCATTCTTCGCATACTTGAAAATAACATCTAAGGTTTCTTTTGCCGAAAAGATACAAAACTTTTCAGTTAATATGACATCATCAAAATTTTGCTTTATGTAATTCTCAACTTTTGCTTCTAAATCGTTACATTGGAACAATTTCAATAATTCTGCAGCGGCAAGACACGTATCTGGACATAAGTTTTCTTCAATGCGGCCGAAACAAATTTTTGTGAGTTCATCAATTTGCATCACACTGGCAACATTTAGTATTTCCGCAGCTGTTTCGACTGTTACATCTGATTTTCCCGTGTACATATATTCAATGCATTTTCCGACAGCAAATGCGTCCACCTCTTTCATTTCAACAGATCCTTCTCCATTTTCTTTCGTGTTGTGTGAGAACATAGCGCGGAA